GTCCGCAGCCCGCCCCCATAGAATCTGGAAGCTGATCATACTTACACTTTCTAACTTCTACAATGCGCAAAAAGCGCTTTGAGACGAACCGCTGCATCCTGTCGACCTGAGATCAAAATGAACTTTACTACCCCTACTTACATGTTTACTGGAAAATGATTGGTTGGAGCACGTCTAACTTTCATTTTCCCAGATTCAAGTAAACAAATCAATAAATCAATGGAAGGACCCTGCGAATCGCCTCAAAAAGTAGCCATAAACCACCGCCGGGGCCGAAAACATATGTGTGCGAAGTTTCAGCTCAATCGGTTCAATGGCTGGCGTTTCTATAACGAACGAACAACTAAACGAACATCCTCACAGACATTGAGTTTTATATATATATAGATATTCGCCATCGAATTGACCTCGTTGAAAATGCAACAATACCAGCCAGGAAGATTCATCGAGTACCACTCGAGAAACGCCAGGAAATAGAGAAGCAGATAACTCAAATGCTGAAGGATGGGATAATAAGGGAATCTACATCTCCATTTTGTGCGCCGATCGTATTGGTGAAGAAGTGCGAAGCGAACACTTGGCGCTTCACGGTCGACTTTCGCGGACTCAATGCCATTACCAAACCACAGCAATCAGTCCTACTTAATATCCAGGATAATACTGATTTATGTGCTAATCAGTGCTTTTATTCGTCCCTTGATTTTCAGCAGGGTTCTCATCAGATACCACTGGAAGAAGAACGCTGTGAAAGGACGGCATTCGCATGCTTTTTGGGAGCGTTTGAGTAAGTTTGCATGCCCATGGGACTAAAAGGAGTTCCTGCCACGTTAGAAGGATAATGGATGACTTCCAAAAGTATTTGAAGGCAACAGTCTCCATTTATATTGACAACCTCATCATCACTTGGGCAAGTCCACAGGAACACTTGGAAAATATCTATGAAGTACTTTGGAAGATTGAAGCCATAGGAATGAAATTAAAGGCATTGAAATTTTCGCGAAAGAAAATCAAGTTTTTAGGATTCATCCTAATTAAGGAAGGAATAAGATCAAACCCAGAGAAAACCAAAGCAATCGAACAATATCCGCAACCGACGAACCCTACAGACGTTAAGTCCTTAGGCATGTGCTCATTTTTTCGGAGGTTTATCAATTTCGCCACCATCGCCGCACCAATCGCTCTAACAAAAAGAACACCTCCTTCAATTGGACACCACCACAATGCAGAGAGGCGATGGATCATCTAAAGCAAGCTTTAACAACAGCACCTGATTTTCGCAGCACCACGATTAGGTAAACCTTTCATTGTCGAGACTGAGCTCGGCGAAAGGCGTCGCCGGAGTCCTCAAGCAGGATCAGGGAGGTCTAGAGCGCGTTATCGCTTATGCGAGCTGCACTCTGAACAAACATGAAGCGAGATATCCAGCAATAGAACTTGAGGTCTTAGGACTGGTTTACGCGGTGCAGAAGTTTCGACCGTATATAGATGGAGCACGATCATCACCGACTATGCACCATTCAAAGCATTACTCTACAGGAAAGATCTTACCAGGAAATTGGCCAAATATCAATTCATGTGGCAAGAATTTGGTAATGAAAGCATCTATCGCCCAAGGAAAAGGAATGCAGTAGTGCTGTCTCGACATTTACCGCCAGCTATAAATGCTATCTCGTCAATAGAGAAGGATAACCTTCAGCTAGATGCCATAAGAAAAGAACAAGATGAATGCACATAAATCGCAGGGAATTAAGACGGCCTGATAACGAAAACACCGCAAGATTATCCAACTACCCCTAATTATAAATAACATTCTTTACAGACTACTAAATTTTCTATATCAAGATCCCCTAAAAGTATTACCGGAATCATCCCAAATTAAGAGAGACATCGCCGCTTTGGCACACCGATCCCAAGTAGCGATAGCACATCTGGGAATCAGTAAAACCCATGCCGCTGTAGAGAAAATTGCTATCTGGAATCACATGCGCAGGGATATCGCAAGCTTCATTAATGCATCTGAGTTATGCCAAGCAAGGAAGGATCCGAGCGCTTATAGAATAAGAGAACCTTTACGCCCTTTCGAAATATCTTTCAGGAAGTGGCCTTATTGTCTTCACAGACTCGCTCTCCAAATATATAGTCGCGGAACCAATACCTGATCAGAAGGCCGACGCTATGTCACGCATCTTTATCACCGCTTCGTAGCTAGGTTTGGACTACCACAAATATTGGTGACAGATCAAGGATCGAATTAAATGAGCGAGACCTTTCGAACCCTTCTACAGAATTTGCACGTTGAACACCTCACAAGCACCCCATATCATCATCAATCACGCGAACAAGTGGAACGCGCCAACCGTACATTAGAAGAACAAATTGCTATCGCTACTCGCCAACATAGCGACGAATGGGATTACGTTCTTCATCTTGTGGTTCATGCTTGCAACAGTGCGGAAAACGCCTCAACTAAATTCACACCATTTTTTCTTGTCCACGGCTGCAACCCTACAAATATCTTCAACCTAGCGCTTCAGTTACTAACGAAAAAATACGCGGATAAAGATTATGTGGACAATCTTGTCAAAATTTTGAAGGATACATATCAAAATGTCTACTTGAACTTGACAAAGGCACAGGATCAACAGAAACGTCAATACGATTTGAAAGCAAGGACCGCGAAGGCACAACATCAAATAGAAGAGAAAGTCTGAATAAGGAAAGACGTTGGACATAAGCTTGCAACACGGTACGAAGGATCATTTCCAATTATGTTGATCTACCTAAAATCACCATTTTGGATGGGAAGCGCAAAAGGATTATTCATGTCGATCGGACAGATTGCATGAATAAGACCTTTTTCAGAGTAAGAGAGGAAGATAGAAGAAGAAGAGGAAAAGAAGAAAGAAAAAAATTTTTCCACAACTATATTCATCTATTCTTTTTTGTGACGTTGTAAAAGAAAAATAGTCACTCCTTTTCACCTGATGCTGTAAGTATATTTCTACTCTTTTTTGTACCATAACATCATTATAGAGATAATAAAATTGTAAAAGTTTTTGTATTATTAATAATGTAAGTAATATCACTCTATAGGAGGAAAGCAAGGAGAATTAAGATTTACCGTGTGCTGCTGCAAATCCTCGGGAAGTGAATCGAGGCGTACGATCCAATCTTGGCAAGGCAGTAATGCATCGGTAAACATTGGCAAATCCAGTAGACAACGAGACTGTAATGGCCAATACAGTCTCGGCCTCAGTCGTAATGTCAATAAATGAATGAGACCCCAATTAGAACATACCAAAACGACGAACCGCGGACTTCTACGCACAGCTGGATGCGCCGGAAATAAGAAAGAAACATAGCGTAGAAGGAAAACACCGATCAACGACCATTTCGACGTCTACGAGAAAAAACAACGCAACCTATTGTCGGGTCCATTTGGAATCCAACTCTAAAATCGAGTAGCGATGGAGAGACCTCACGATGTCAACTCCTTTCTCAAGGCATCGGAAGATACCGTCCATATCAGGCAAATCCTTTTTCCCATCTTATTTAGAGGTAGTTCGATGTATTGGATTTGGCAGTCTAAAAGATAATGAGTGCGTAAGACCACCCGTATGCGGAATATGGACCATGGACGAGTCAAATGGCACTTTAGTAGTTAGTCAGGATTTGGAACTCGCGTCAAGGCACCGGCCGCGCAACCACTCCATTTGCCCCGGAAGAGAGCCGCATTGGACATATGTATAGTAGTGAAGTGTCGACACAAAAAATAATCGAATAAACAATACAATCCGTCGCGTAACGAAGTCCAATTCGACTTCACAATCCGAGGTACGATGATCGTGCACTCGACAAAATACACATCCGACTTGCGGATAAATATGTGCTATCTCAGCAATTGGCACCAATAGGGAGAGCTGCCTCCTCTTCTCCTATTTTCTCTTCAGCCGGGAAAACCCATTTATGCTCGAGGCGGCTTAACCGGAGCCGAAACTGTCTGTCTTCTCAATCGGATAGAGATCGTCTTTCGTCCCAAAAAAGGACGTAAAGATCCTTTGATTCATCGTCGCCCGAACTTGATTCGACGCTAGATGTTGTATTAGTATACTCTTCATTGTCTAGCTCCTCGGCAATCTCTTCATTGGGACGAACTACTTCGTTCCGTAAATGCTTAAACTTCGGAAAGCCTTCCTTTTGAGTCAGCAAAATAGTCTTAACACCGGTACACGGGAAGCACGGGTAAGGATGGCCAAAATCTAAACGTATCAGAGAAAGTGGGTTCGGTGGGTTGTGCGGACTCAGTCAGCTTTTGAAGCAGCGGTAGGAATTTTAGGAATATAAGCAGAGGTAGGAATATTAGGAATATGGGAAGGAATAGAATAATAGAATATTCCAACAATTCTCCAGCAGCTTTGAATACCGTAGCAGTAATAATGGAATAGATAGAATATAGTAACTTCTCTCCAGTCATATTCGAGTATATTAGGATTATGAATGAAATAGAATATAGCAGTGCTCGTCAAAGTACTTAAGAACGTGAAACACACATGCCCTTGCAATTGCAGTTTGCTCTATCTTTGGCAGCTTTCAATGGCAGCTGCGGGCAATTCATTCCGAACTATTCCTCTTATGAAATTTGCCCAAAATCAGCAGAAGAATTTCGTTTTCCTTGTAACACATGTCCCAGAAACATAAGCGAAACGCGAACATAATTTTGACCCTCGTGCGAAAATCTAAGTGAACTTCACAAGCAGAGGTCCGGTGCCCGTTGATCCCACATACCACGCACTCAACCGAAAGTAGATGTGAGAGAAGTCAGTGTCTGGCACCAGCGGGGCGTGACCTCTTCATCCTCATTAAAATCGTCATCCACACGTGCCTCCGACGTCCGCTCGATCTCACCCGAGCGAAGGAAGAGCAAGCATGTTTCTCTGCTGGTTAGGGGCCGTGGTCCTAATCCAAAAAACGGGTCGTGGGGACCCTCCGGTGACTCCCTGTCACTCAACATTCGACGTCGTGGTGGCACTCTTTCGATCATTCGGTTCTTCGGGCACCTCTTCTCTATCATCTCGACCATTTGGTGCTTCGAGCACCTCCTCTCTAGTTCCATTAACAGGCATCATCTGCAAAGTAGATCATGAAATCATAACCACACTCTCTTGTGGCAAAACGCTAACACACCCAAATTCGAAAGCTCCTCTTTTTAGATCAGAATAAAACAGCTTTATCCTAGTATTTCATCTTACCTTGTTTTGAGCCTTACACACCACACATCACACGCTGATTCGTGGATAGATGTCTGATAGTTGATAGTTGTATCACAATTTTCGCATGAAGAAGCATTATATTCTTTGGAATTTGTAGAAACTCCATGGTTTACTAATTGCATTTATCATGTATTGAATTCGATTCCGAGTCCTTCTTCGACACAAGAAAGTCGGATGGTCGTCCCTCCGTTCACAGCGTGTACAGTCCACGCGGGTAGTACAGGCGTGGCCGTCGTGGAGTTCGGCGCATCGCCCGCAGAGGATACGTTTCAATCGTTCACGAGAGAACCCTAAGGAACAGCACAAGGAATCCAGCGTCTTGGAACCACATTCATCTGGGAAATCATACTAACTCACTTCCCTGTGTCTTATCACTTTCTTCACATAAAGTAGTATTGTATTCTTGCCAACTTGTAGTAACACTATGGATTATTAATCACATTTACTATGTATTGTAAAAAAATAAAACAACATTCAAATAAAATCATCTTCAATTTCAACTCAATTCCGGATTCTCCTCCGGCACAGGAATGTTGGGTGGCTGTCCTCTCGCCTACAGCGCGCACAGTGAAGATGGTTAATACACATACGCCTATCATGGAATTCGGCGCATCGCCCACATAGGCGATATGCGAAGACGATCCGCACTCGATCGCGGAACTCCTAGTGGACCTCACAGTCGCAGGTTCTGTGGCCGTTCACGCCACATACCACACACCCTAGTCGAGGGCGGACACTGCGAAAATCAGCGTTCGGCCCCAGTAGAGGTGCCACCTCTTCATCTTCATCAAATTCGCCTTCATCTTCCGCCTCTAACGCCCGTTCGAGCGTAATCAAGCGAAGGTAGAGCAGCTTGTCCTCCCTACGGGTTAGGGGACGGGCGCCTAACCCTAGAACCGGATCATGCGGACCCTCCGGTAAATCGTGACCATCTACTCTCCATACTTCGCTCGCTGATGAGGAACCTTCTTGCCAATTATCCGGATCCTCCGGCACTTCATCTTCATCATCCTCATGATGGTAACCATTCGGCAGCCCAAGATTCGGCATCCCGAGCTCTCCATTTTCACCATCTCCTGCTTCATTCGCCGCCCCAAATATCCTATCTCCATCATCTTGTCCATTGGGCGCCGCTTTAAACATTCATTCATTATCTTAATTATTTTGTTTCGTAAGCACTCCTTTACTACCTTCATTATTCGGCACTTCCAACGCCACCCTATCATCTCGATCGTTTTGTGCCTCGGGCACTTCATCAGCTCTATTAATAGGCATCATCTGTGAAGTACAAAATGAAATTACAACCACACTTTTTTAGCAAAATGTTAGTACATTTAAATTTTCGAGAGCTCCTTTTTTGATCAGAATAAAACAGCTTCATCCTAGTATTTTATCTTACCTAGTTTTGAGCCTTACACACCCACATCACACAGCTGATTCGTGGATGAATGTGAGGGAACTTTGCATCCGGCCCCAGTAGGGGCGCTACCTCTACTTCCTCTTCCACATCTTCTTCAGCACGGGAGGCCAACTCCCGTTCAGTTTGGCCTAAGCGAGCTAGAAGCACCCATTTCTCCGGGCTCGAAGGGCAGCGCTCCTATCCAAAGTATGAATTATATGGACCCTCCGGCAATTCTGAATTCTTTTTGCTCTCCTACATGGGAATGTAAGGTGACTGTCACCCCTCTGACATTGTGCGCGTCACAATGTAGGAGGGTGACGGGTACTTCTGTGTCACACGGGCGACACAGAAGTACCCGCCGTGCGCCTCAGAGCACCGTCCACAGAGCTCACAAGCGAATATCTTATTCGAGTGAGGAAGTCCAGGTTGGACGTGTTTATCTCCAAAAAGCTCTCCATTGAGGTGATAGGGCTGCATGTGCAAGGTAGGGAATGAGATTATAGCAAGCCACAATAATAATGATATCATAGGCTGTAAGGGCTGGGGCGGGGCGAGAGAGAGTCTGATAAGAAGAGATGGTGTTTACAAACACGCACCACGATTCGAGGTACCTTTTCCAGTTACTGATGCTGATCTACCCGAAATCACGGTTTTTATCGATCGGACGAAGCCGCATTAAGAAGACCCTGCCCAGCGAAAAGTAACTGAATTACTGAACTTTTTCCATTTTATTGTGTCATAGTGTCATATATCATCACAGAGATGTGATTGAGAACAGGAAATTGTAGGAAACATTCTATCGTTGATGATGTCAATATCATTAATATAGGCAAACAAGGAGAATCAAGAACGACTGTGTGTCTATGAATCAACTTCGCAAGGCGAATCAAGAGGTAATAACAAGGATACAAGGCATACAGGGAAATGGAGTCCCGAAATGTGACTAGACCTTGGCGATGGCGCTAATGCATTGGCAAACACGGACAAATCCCGAGGTCAACACCAGGACTGCAAATGGCCACTGCAGTAGCAACTAACAACAAAGTAAACATTAGAAATGCGACTCAATAGCGGCTCCAGTTGGAATCCATGTTTAACATCGTGCAATGACGAGAAACTCGGCATTTTCGAGGCATCAGAAACCACCATCTACATCCAGGCAGATACCTCTCTTCAGTTTATTACAAACTAGCTGGCTTACCCGGCTCCGCCGTATGTTCCGAACGAATAGAAAATTCCATTTCTTAACCACTCCGGACCAAACTTGGCACACATACACTTCGGGCCCCGGCGAGTGTCACAGTCCACTTTTCGTTATCGATTGATGTCGATTTTATCGATTTTTTGCAAAATTTGAGCTAGGAGCCTGGGATTTGGCACAGGGGGGGGGGGGTAATCGAGCATGTGATCACCCCCGTGGGGGTGATCAGCATGCTCGATTACACCCCCCTGCCAAATTCCATCCCCCTAGCTCAAACTTTGCAAAAAAAATCGATATAATCGATAAAAGTAATGCACGATTTTAAAAACTAATGTTGTATTCGTAATCAGCATGCTCGATTACCCCCCTGTGCCAACTCCCAGCCCCGTAGCTCAAATTTTGCAAAAAATCGATAAAATCGATATCGATCGATGACGAAAAGTAGCCTATGACACCCGCCGGGCCCGAAGTGTATGTGTGCCAAGTTTGGTCCCGATCGGTTCAGAAATGGAATTTTCTATTCGGAACATACGTACACACAGACAGACAGACATACAGACAGACATACATACAAACAGACATTCAGCTTTATATATTAGGTTGTGTAATAAGTTCGTTCGCATTTTTTGTTTTGATTTTTTCTCAAAATTTTGCAAAGCATTTGGCATAGTGTTAGTATGCGTTCGGAAGCTCTAAGTTTGCTCTACCAAAATACTGTCATTATATTCTCAGTTTTTGAAAATTTGAATAAAAAATTTCACTACAAACCGAAAAATCTGAAGTGGCAAAGATCCTATTTTCGACATCTTTTTTCTTCCTTAGTTTTCCCGTTATTCTTTGTTGAAATTTATTCAAAAAGCTTGATAAGGAAGAAAAACAACTGACTAACAATTTATGCATTTACTGATACTATTTACGATTGTCCATTTCCTTCCACCGGCCGTTTAAAGCAAATTTTTGCAAAACTCGGCGTAGCAAGGCTTTGCCGCAGCGGTGTTCGTTGTCTCGCGTCCGCGGGCTATGAGTCCCTCAAATTCTAAATTTTTGACTATATAAGCCATTTATTCGACGATTTAGCGATCATAGACCACATGTCTGCCAATTCTTGGATTATTTGGCTACCACCTTTCTTCAGAGGTGCCTTCAGATGCTTAACGTTGACGCCAAAAAGACATAAAAACAAACCTATTTTTAGCTTACAATATGAATTGTGTTTGAAAGGTTTTAGCACTACAGGTAATTTGCGAGAGCTATAGAGTTCTATTTATACATGTCGCAAAATTTTTGAGCTGTTTCTTAGGCGCTCAAACCCATTCAAGGTGCGGCATAATACAGTTGTCGGAAATGGGATTTTCGTCATTTCAGATTTTTTAGTTTGCAGTCGATTTTTTATTCAACTTTTTACAAACTGGCAATATAATGATAGTATTTTGGTAGAGTAGAATTAGAGCTTCCGAATGCATACTAACACTATGCCAAATGTCTTGTAAAATACTGAGAAAAAATTGAAACAAAAAAGCGAACGAACTTATTACACAACCTAATATAAGATTAGTTCGTATTAAGTGACCGGTCTGAAAGATGATGGTTGCGCAAGAGGAATCCGTATGAGAAATACACCATGAAATGGCACCTTGATTTCTTAGTTTACGAATAAAACTCGCGTCAAAACACTGCTCAACTATTTCATTTTGTTTCGGGCGCGGGCAGCATGGGCATGTAGTTATATAAAATAAAGTATGCACATAAGAAAAGGAGAGAAACGAATTTATGTAAACACACAATAATATATCGTTACTTCGACGAGCATCACGGCGGCCATCGGAAACATAGAAGACACTAAGAAACAATCGACACACTTTTGAAGCCCTCCTAAAAAAAAGACGAATCATCTTTGAAGACAATGGTAATGTCTCCGTATTTACATAAATTGGAGTAAGTAAACACGCAGCGTAAAAAGAACATCAAATACAAGTCGACTATCGACAAGAGAAAGGACTTTACGAAAACCTTCTCAAGGATAAGGGATCTTTTGATAAACCCGTGTATTTTTTATTCATACAATTTCAATTTGAGCGCAGTCTTTACCAGACTGAGTGGTTGTGTACCCTGTTTATGGGTAGAGTTGATATGCGGAGGAATTGTAGAGAATCAAGCATGTCTTTTCCACTTCAGGGTTCAATGTAACTCGTTGCTTTTCTTCAAATTTTACGCTCATTTAGTAATTTCATAGCTTTCCCATTCATTTTGACTGCCACTCTTTATCCTGTCATGATTCGGTGCCTGGTCTTCACGCATCATGAGCTATTCTACAACCAAGAAATATGCTCACAAAGAGATAAGTAGGGAGTTTAGATTTTCTGAGCATCTTGGGTGTGGTGCGGAAGGCGACAAAACCCAGTAGAGGCGAGGGAACGGTGGCCACGCCTCCAACTTGCCTGCTGTTTAGTGCTGGCCTCGAGTCAATTAGACAGATTGACGCTCTTGTGGCGCATAGGCTGGCGCGTGAATGGTGGCGATGTCCTCCTCGACTACTCTGTTTTGTCCATGAGAGTTCGTGTGCAAATTGGTAGGAGTGATCACTCAGTGTACGAAGGAAAGGTTACGTATTTCACTGCAGAACTGTAGATTGTTTAATGATAGCTAACTGATTGCAGTGTGAGATTTCGCAGCGAAATTCGATTTCGGTCACATGCTACTCACAAACCATATTTCGATTAACTTCCAGGTTATGTGAGAATAACCGAGTTGCATCAGTGTACTATGCGGTTATGTGGCTATCATTCGGATAGAATTGAACCGAACACAATGAATGTTGCAAAGCAGTTCCTTTCAAGGCTCAAAGTAAGAAAAACCTCATTTTTTGGCGAAATGTCAACATTAGTTTGTATCTAGGCGAACCGCAAACTCGATAAAGCTTCGCGACCTATGGTCTTTGTCAATGCTTCAAGTTTTCATAGTTTTTCTGCTGTTTTGCTTGACAGTGTAAAAAAGAACACTTTATTCACAACAGAAATTGCACCAGAGTATAGGACAAAAAGGAAATGATACAACGATAAATGATATGGTACATTTTACCTGTAGGTCCACCCTGAAAAAAAAATGAATCACAAGGAAAGACGAATTTTGATGTAGAATACAACTTTACAACAAAAACAAAAAATTCCTGTACTGAGTTTCCAAAGTTTTTCTGTAATTCTATTTGTTCCACATAGTCATTATCGACAATAGTATCTACAAGGGACCATTATGTATTTAGAAATACTGCTTACAAGTAAGTGAAGTCACGTTAACTTACCATCTCTTTGAGAAAAGAAAAGAATCTACGACCCTTAGATAACGATATTAAAAAACCATATAAATGCACAAAAGTGAGAAAAAGCAACATCTAGCATTGATAACTCGAGCGTAAGTAGCACAATTACAGAATGCTCAAATCAATGGCTCTTTTGCTCGTCTCTGTTCGAATGCACTTATGGACATCCACCCTTCAATGACAGAAAACGCTTTGCGATGTCAAAGCAGAAAAGGAGTGAGTGAGAGCACTTACCTTTCATAAGTCCATAGCTATGGCTCACGAAGTTGAAAGCAAGGACTTTCTGCGTATATCTGAACTAAAATGAAATGAATAAGTCGCACAAACAATTTGATGATGACAAAAAATGCTAACTATGAGTAAGGCGAGAACATTCATAAAGTGATATTGACTAAATAAGCAAATTGTAAAATGCAAAAGTAGAAAAGCACAGGACACAAGAAAAAATCATACCTCTGATGAATCAGTGGACAAGTCCTTTCAAGTCGCTCATGTGTATGTACGTCTTCTATGAGGACTCCTGCATCAAACATTACTCCTGTGAGCAAAGATGTTTACACAGAACGTGAAAGATATACAACTAGTAAATGATAGATACGAACAGAGACAAAAACGTGATCGCACAAGAAACGAAACATGTAGAAAGCGTGCAGTCGCGCTCCAGTACAAAGATTTGAATGGCTGATTGGCGGAGAACTCGGACAGGGCGTGGCCACTAGTCGCGCCCGTTCCAGGGCATTTGTCGCCTTCCGCGTGTTCCCCGAGCATCTTAGATCGCTGATGTGCTCCGAAGGACGAATTCGAAACGCACAAGCGTACAGTCTGCCCCAATCCTTATCAGGCCAAAATTGGCATGGCGGGAGTCCGCGTCGCTAGGGTTTCGCGGTCACGCCCACGGCCGATTCTCTGCTCTCTCTTCAATCCTTTTGCTCTCTCCGACAGCGCGCATATGCAGCGCAAACCACCAGCGCTGTGAGCGCGCAAACTCAGGCCGACGGTTTGGCCTGATCCCAATTGAAGCAGACTGTACCCTGATCGGCAACGCGGCAGCGACGCGCAGTTTTCCCCGCCGAGCGCGACAGTGAGCACGTACTTGATTTTTTTTTACGTTTTTTGAAGTTTCAGACGTCGATCTTTGTACTTGTGTGTTCCGGTGTTCCGAATTCGCCTTCGACAAGGGTTTCCGAACTCGATCAGCAACAAGCACTATTGTAACAAAGTGGAGCAATCACAGCTTTGTAATGTTGATGTCTAAAGTTTTCGGGTACAGCCATGCGCACATAAATGCTTTTGTGACTTCGTCTGCGAATCTCCGAGAAGCTTTCTCCACAGTCTGAAATCTCTCCGAAATATTACGGAGTGTAGAATCATCGTTACATCTGAGGCTCAACCTCCCACTAACGCACTTAGTCACGACAAAATGTTACCTTTATCAATTTCAAAAGGCCGCGTAGAATGAAAAAAGACACTGAATTGCGAAGTGCTTGCTCTATCGCCGGTCAGCATATCATGTTTGGGATCGTAATAAGAATGGGAATTAGTCTAAGTTGTACATGATGGAAACGTCAGGTTGAGCCTCGGTGAGTGACTTCGAAGAGCAACCAAATCGAGAACATAATTGCTGGAAAGAGAAGGGCGAAATATTTATGGTGGTCTATTTCTTTGCAAATCCACCCCTACCGCGTCTTGCAATGTCCTCTAGCACCAAATAATTTGTAATCGTCAAGCAGCCTATGTAAGCAAAAACTGGAAAAGAAGTTTGAAAACTATCTTCCACGTTACCTACTGTAGCCCGAGCTAAAGCAGTTATGTTATACAAAGGCGTGCCATGTCGAATGAACTGAATGGTAATCTTCAGAACTAGTCCACTCTGAACATAGACCTGATGCGAAAAATTCGTGCACTTTGGCGGAGACCGCCCAAGCACAGCCGCCGCGATTCTTTTTTCACGAATAATGAGCGGCAATTCAGGAACTTCACACCTCAGTAGCTGATCTGACTTCGTCATAAAGATCCTTATTGTAGTTCCAAGCCTCAAAGTACATATTTTGCACAAACTATATTTGTAGTAGTGTAGGACCACAATTGGTTTCTAACGAATTCCACCTTTTGGTGAAAACTGCACCCAAAAACCAATTCGAACTTTTCTGCTTTCTACACTTACAAACAGGTGAAACCAGAATTGGCAATAAGTTTGCAAAGAAGCCGTAACTTCATCAATAACGCTATCGATAGATTTCCTTTTTGCTTCTTATGTTAACAACTGAATCTATAAATCAAGGCTGAAAAGAATACTTTATTGATGAACAATCAGCACATGTAACTCCTCTAGGCGGTTTTACTTTTCTTTCCACCTTTGTCATACATCTATTCCACTCTACTGATATTCCACTTTATTGTGGAACATGACCGGTACGCTAAACGCATAGTGCATGCAAAGAAGTCACAAAAAAACCAAGCGTTCCAGTTCTGCCTTTCATACATGCTCCAACAATCGTGCGCTTGAAGGTCGGGACGAATGCGAAACAGACAAGCCTCAAAAATCGGCGTCGGAAACTTCAAAAAACGTAAAAAAATCAAGTTCGTACTCGCTGTCGCGCTCGGCGGAGAATACTGCGCGTCGCTGCCGCGTCGCCAATCAGGGTACGCTTGTGCGTTTCGAATTCGTCGCTCCGAAGAGAATCATTTTGGATTCGAGCATAAATGCGCAGTGGGGCAAAGGCAGAGTGCTTTCCAGCTGCAAGTGTTTTCCGGTTAAAAATTTTGTTGGTGCTCGTTACAACGGGCTCTGCGCTTAGATGCATGGCGGTCGCGTGGAGCTGGCAGATGTGAAGGCTCTGCTATCATCCGATAATCCCGTAGCACAAAGTCAGGTAGTAAACAGTTTTTCTTTGTAGTTCTTAGTAAACTGCATAATTTAGGGACTATCAAGTTTGCTTTCCCGTTTAAAGCAACCTTTCCCGAATGCCAAAGCTAAGGTTGCTGCCATTTCGCTCCTCTTTGACTGTCTTACGCAATTCGGAGATAATGTAGCCGCATGGTGTGCAGAGGCTATACCATTGCTACTGAAAACAGGTGAGGCTATACAACCTTTGCTTTTTTCTTTGTCTTGCATGATGCTGCTGCATGAAAGATTGAGGCGTATGGGACGTTTGTGGTTGTCGCCGTCGGACTTTACTTTGTGTAGATGCACCAATTTTGTTTCTCCTTGTAAAATCTGCAGCGTATCAAACCTGTGGCGTCGGTTCATGTTCAATAGTAGTTCTAGAAGGTGACGTGACGATTTATTTTCTTTACAAGAACGAAGCAAGATTGATTCCCGTACTTTTCGTTAAAAATCTACATATAAAAGCTGGCGGGTTTCTCCCACTTGTAAGGTTTGCCGTAGTTCTCGTAGGAATCGTAGCCGGAATACTCTAAGACTAAACTTGCCGGTTATGATTATGGACTTCTGCAATCGGCCACCTTAACAATTTTCCCAACAACTCTTTATTCCCAGAGATCTAGTACGTCGATCAACATCTACCTCTAGGAAGCAAAAATTTATATAACGGGAGAGTATAGTCATAGACAAGAGGAAACTGAGCGGAAGAATATATATACAAAAAAGGTGAGAATGAGAGAGAGAAGGCTAAAACACAGTCATGATGGATTATCATTTACAACCAGGCTTCAGATATATACTGTATGATATCTCCTAATGAGTAATCACGATCACATACGTTTTCTAGGTGCGAAAAAGCTATCTAATTTTTCAGTTCAGCTGTCCTAGCCTCCTTTCAATGTGCACTTTTGGAAGGTTGTTCGTTGTACCATAGCCGGTTTTATAATTGCGGCGCCACGTCGAGTGGTTAATCGTATGAGCGTCCTTGTTTCTAAAATTCGTTCCCTACACAGTAGCTGAGAAAGAAGGATACCAGAAAAAATTCACGGAAGGGAAATAAGGACTCATATCTATCAGTGCCCAAGTTGTACTGCAAATAAACAGTTCATGGTTTAATGAAGACTATGGCAAGGTGTTGGCACGCGGCTTTGTCTTGATAAGCGCAGTTCACATCTCATTCAATGCACTTTTAGATGTGCTGTCCAGTGACGAAGTAACAACACACTGTTACCTCAAACTCACTAGTGGGGATGTTAATGGTCATCATGCGCAAGTAATTATCAAATTGCTCCTACACATATCGGTGTCTTTGACCAGGTGCGTCGGCTTCTGACTATAAATTTTTTGTGTGTCATTTCCATTGAGAAATATTTGCCGAAACCTTGTCCTTCTCCACATTAATAAATTGATCGCTAATCAACCTCATATACCACATGTTGTTTCTGCATTCTATTCCTTTTTCTTGTTTCAGTACTTGTCTGACTATACTGCGCAAGAACCAGCGCTTTTCCGGAAATCTGGTAGACGAGCTGCGCACCTGTAGCAGAGATGGGTAAGATTATGCTGACAATTCTTTAGCGTCTTATTTACTCTTGTGTTGTTTAGGTACATATCCACGTTGAAATTTCTCCTCTTTAGTGGGCTTTTGACCCACGAAGACAGTATCTGTCTACTCTCACAAATAAGTGATATCGCAGAGTCTGATGACTCTTTCTTTGAAGACTATGCGGAATATCTGGTTCATGACTACTCACGTCGGTTTGTAGCCAACAGGAAGTCGACTCGATGTGTTGAGGCTATGCTCGTTCATGCAGTAGGTGAGTTATTGCTGTTACGTAGTATGTGTGGAAACGCACCCATTTTTCTCAAATCCAGAACTTTCGCATCAAGAGTTCCTTTCACTCGAGCTAAGTCCGGATCATACATTCACTGTGGCGGACGTTCTTCTAGCATCGCCTGATCTCCTCATGAATGAGAAGCTTCCAGCTACGCACGTTCTTCTTCCTTCTTTATTCTCTACTTATTCGAGTAGGTTCGTTGCTACCCTACCAACTATTTGGAGTGTCATATAAACTTTTTTTTTCAGATCAGAGCTTGCCAAATGTTTACCCGGTCTGGTTTCCGCTGATCAGCTGAATCGGGTAAATAATCTCCTTTCTTATGGTTCTTGCCAAATGTTGTATGTCGCAGATTAAAGCCGTGGTTGCTCGCTGCCAATTTGTCTCTGATTTTACTGATTTCCGACTTCACGAAGATATGAACGGTTATCTCTTTACTTTCGGGTATTTGAAATCTGTGGCCTCGGCAGGCAAAATATCTTCATTTCTGGACTGTTGGCTTTCCAAATTGGAAGTAATGGTGTGTGCTTCTTTTCTATCTGTTTAATTGTTATGAGTCTATCAAGTTAAGGAAGTTTCTGATCGATCTGTAATCTTTCTCGTCGCTCTCTTTCCCTATGTCAATGCGTCTGCTTTGGAAAAATGCTGTCAACTTTTGGGTGAACTCATTAAACGTGCCTCTGGATTGGTGAGTCAATTGTATGATTCTGAAGTGTGAGTGTGATTACTGCAGTTTGCAGGTCAATAGTCTTTTACTTCTTTTCACCACGCTCTATGCGAAGCCATACTTCAAAGTGGAGAAAACCTCGGTTTTGAAGGCTATTGGCGGGCTTTTTGTGAATCGAGTAAGTACCAAATTTGTCCGCTACAATGTTTTTGATTATTGTTTGTCAGTTTGCTGTAACTCCTGCCGTCAACTTTCTCTCAGTAGTATGTCGGAAGGGAGGAGAAGAACGCGACATTGCGTTTGAACTTCTTGGAAGTCTGGTGGCGAAGTAGGTTGACACTTTTGATGCGTCCTAGTAATAACCCATATTTTAGATTTCCCACAGCGTTCGATATGGTGAAGCCGCTTTCCATTCCTGCTGACGCTGATCCTTTGGGTGTTTTGAAGGCAAAGCTCAAACTGATGACCACACTTTGTGTATCGACGTAAGTCCTATGATGTGTATTTACTTCTCTTCACAAGAATTTCAGTGACCGATCTGACGAATTGCTTCCATCACTTTCAAGCTTGTTAAAGAAAGATGCTATAACTGTTGAAGCCGCTATTTCGGTGGTGAAAGTCCTTTGCAAGGAAGATGTGAGCTTTGTCATTATTATTTGACTTCAAATTTTTGAAGATTCGCTTGAGATTCTGGATGTTGATACTGTGCGTAAACAACTAGGGAACAAAGTGAGACAACCTGGATTTGAAGGGTCTCTTGCTGGATACTGTGAAATTCTCGCAACAGCTGCTTCACTCAAAGAGCAAGATGAAGGGGTTAGCCTTCTGAAGTCTCTTTATTATATAAATTGCCATTCTTATTTAGGACCTAGTTGGTGATTGTGTGAAGGAGTTATGGGAGATTACTGAGATCCGTCGTGATAATCCTCAGATAATCACTGCACGAAAGGCTGCTTGGGCGGCTCTAGGTTAGTGTTGATAATCTTCTAGAGGTTATTGGTCCATTTGAATATACTGTTGTAACTAAATTTTGAAACTCATCTCATATTTTCTTTTTTATCTTTTGACATCTGTTATTTTTTTTCTTTAAAAGGCATTGTAGTAATAGCAAGAATTGTTGCAGCTTGCTTTGACGCTTTGTCACTCATCAGTGTCATAAGTAAAACCCCACAGGATTGGATGACTATGTTTGCCGGACTTGATCCAGAGGAAAGAAAAGGTGACACAACTTTTTCTCTAACTAATGCATGCGATGAGGGTCGTTGATGTAGGTTTAATTGTTCTTCTCCAAAAGCTCGTCGCTGGTGATTTGGAGTCTCTGTCAAGAACGCTGTACACAAAGGAGTACATCCATAAATCTGCATTGGCAACTTTCATCACAAACCTCCACAACGCGCTGAAGAGGACCCATCAAGAGGTTAGAAGGCTCGCTTTTGGTATATAATGTTTTTCGTGTCGAAGCTAGTTTCAGGCGCCATGGTTTTGGTCTGCAACCCTGCCGCTTTTTTCCGTAATCGCAAATGAGTTTGCAGAGAGTGGTAAGGGACTACAGGCTATCAAACTTCTTCGACGAGTTTTACGAGAGGTAGGCGCTCAACTTATTTGGTAAAATCTGTAAACTGCGTATTCAGGTGCATGTTAGTGATCACAAAGTCGTCAATCTTTTTGCTGGCTGGAGAATATGTGTTGTCAGTTTGCTTGGAATTCTTACTCAGAGCAGTGACCCAATGAAGTTTGTTCCCATTTTATCGCCAAGATCTTTGAAAAGACTGATTTTGTAGAGTGCGAGATCAGCTTGTGGAAGAATGTAAGCGAGCCCTCAGCACTACTGAACTTTCTGTAAACAATGTCCTTATCTTGTTAGCTATCTTGGCTGGAGAGTTGAAAAAGTTTGGAGACCTGGTGAGCTTTTTGTTGCAACTTACCTCTACTTTTTTGCCTCAGAGTGGATTTTAGATATCAGAAGCAGAAGCCGCCACAGATTTTAAGACAAGCATGCGGCCTTGGTTTGTCGCTCTTTTGGAGTTCATGCTTCCTATCGTTTTCAACGATTATGACCAGAAGACTCAGCCACTTATACAAGTTTGTGTAGTAAGTTTTTCTCATTATAATCCTTTGATTTTTCACTTATTTTTGCTCTTGCAGAACCAGCGATGTGTCAATGAAAACGTGGCTAGAACTGCTCTGTGGATGACATGTCAGTCCATATCGGATGAAGTCAGAAGCTTCTTTGACGATAAGCTTATTGCACAAGCACTGGACTGGAGACTTGAACAAGAGGTACAGTTCTAATAGTTTTTTGAGGGATCGCATCAAGAAGGGGTTGTTATTAGGTTGATCCAAACGGCAGTCTTTATGCTTTGCTAACGGGTGGGACCGCAGAAGAGCCTACGAATTCGCTGTCTATATCAAAAATATGGCTGTTTTCGGCCGCTTTAGGTAATCACCCGCTTTCTGCGTTTTTGCGTTTGCAGCAATTTTCTGATCAGGAGCAAATGACTTGATCACCAATTCACTGAGTCGTTCGATCCCACCCGACCAACACATTGAAGACGTTGTGAAGAACTTCGAAGCGAATAGGAACGTCAATGAAAGCGAAGTTGTGGTGGGAAATCTAATAAACTGAAAGTTGAAAACAAGAAAAGTTATATCAGGAATTCTTCAAAAGAATCGCGAACGTTCCGCTTAACACGTTCCGAAAGTATGAGAAGCGCTTACGAAAGCCATTGGAGCTGATTTTCAACAAGGGTGGAGAACAGCTAAAGAGGGCAGCATATGAAGGTGAGAAAATCTTGTACAGTTCTAGGAGCAACCACTTTTAATTCAGGACTTTCTCATCTTGCTTCGGTTTCATTGCTGACGGCTGCTTTTGACCTGCCACCTGACTATGGACACTTGCCGGAGGACAGCATTTTGCGCGCAGTCATCGCTCAGTTCGGGTTGGTGCTTGTAGTTTTTATGTTATTTTTTCCACTTCTTAAAAATTCAAAAAATTTATTCTATGTCTAGACCCAAAGCCATATGTCCCAAAAGTTCAATCCACGATTTGTTGCCAGTGCTTGTCGATCAAACCCGAAGTGATGGAAGACATCTGCCGCCAATGGAGTGGCAATTTATGTTGATGTCCATCGACTATGAAAACGATGAGGAGGCCAGGCTGAATTTGCTCAAACTTGCCTTTCAGCAAATGGATGCACTGGTACTTTCTCTTTCTTTTGAAATGTTATATCAAATTTAATCGCGAAATCTGCATTCAGATTATCTATGAGCTCACAAATGATGCTTTCTTATCCGGCCCTTCCTCATCTGCTGACTACCTATCTATTGTCTCAAAAAAGCTGCCTCTTGTTCTGGAAATGATGCCTCAAATTCGTGCCAAATCTATACTTAATAACCTTTTGGTGTTTGCTATAAAACAAACCATGCCAGGCTCGGAAATATTGAATAACATTGATAGCTGCGGTAAAAATCAGGTTGGTTGGGTGATGATTATATAGCATATCCAACGTTAAGCCAATCAAATTAGATCGTTATCGAAGCTTTGGCCTCTCATCTTCCGAAGTTTGAATCTGCCGAAGATTTGCTGCATAAGACTCTCAGTATGAAATGCATAGGCCAGAGATTCACAGGCCAGATTTCTAGGTAGTTTTTTTAAACTCCTCCATTTAGATCCGTAATGAGAGATATTCTTTTGAGATATTTTGACTTTTGGCTAGGATGCAGTGGCCGAGCGGATGTCAAGCTTGTCTCCTTGGTAGATTCATACGCAGAAGAGCAAGATAAGCCGTGAGCTAGTACAAGGTTTTTTATGCTCCTGACTTTTTCGTTTGTTCTAGGAACGTGATGCTCTCGATATTCGGATTTTGTGCCATGGCTCTACCTTTGCAGCAGCGCTTGGACAAGCTTGTTGACCTCATGAGTATAGGAAAAGTGATGCTGAGCTGTCAAAGACCATCTACACATATTGTACGTTTTCTTCCGGTTTTCTCATACTATAAAAATTTGAAGCTGATATCACAAAACGAAGCATTTTGTACTATTCTTTTCAATACTATCGAATGCAGAATTTTTCCCCTTATTTGCTACTTTCAACACATTTCAGCAAGGGGAGCGGTATCTCTTTGTTACACCCGAGTTGTGTTGACTCAGCATTTGAGTGCATAAAAATTGATGCAGTTGTTTGTTTAAAGGATTGAGAATTTTAAATCCAGCAGTTTCTAATGAAATTTATAGTGCAGTGTTAAGAAAGTTCTGAAGTTAAATTTGCATTTACATTAATTTTTTACTGTTTTTAGTCGGCCGTTCTGAACCTAATTCTTGCTTTGATCTGCTCCTTACCAACTGACTTACCGATTAATTGGCTTTTTCCCGTAAGTGTGCTTTTTTTCGTTTCCGAGAGCAAAATATCGAGCTATTATCTTTCCAGGAAATTACGAATCTGTTACATGCTCGATGGCGATATTACTGGAGGAAACTGATGCAGAAATCAGGATTTTGCCAACTTTTTGATGTTGTACGTTTATTTTCTGTATGTGTTGAAGTCGCTGATTAGTGAAGAAGTTTTTTTTTTTCGTAGAGGGGAACAGGATTTTTTCCTAGGTGAGGGAACGTATATCAGCCATTCCCCTTCTTGGAAATTTTTTTCAGCTCAATTTCTTTGTAAAATGTAAAACATTACTGCTAGCAGTCAGAAAGTGCGCCTTGAATATCTGTAACTTTTGTAGACCAGCTTTAATAGTCCCTTGTCACTACCACTGAAGGCACAAAGTTTTATTTCAGATAGCTGCTTTTCTTTTTCCTTGTTTCCTTCTCGATGATTTGGCTGCATCATCTGCAAGTTTTGTTAAAGGTATGACTGAAATGTTTTTTAGAATCAAAGCTAAGAAAGAATGTTTTAGCCATGCTTGTGTATATACTATCCAACAAGCCTGAGATTGTCAGACCTTATTTGGAAGACAAGAGCTTGTATTGGGAGCGGCTTTTGTTATGACCCACACTTGATACAGGAATGGAAACGTGTCTTCTGCGCTTGAATAAAGCTTTTATTGTTTCTTTGTTAATAGGAACAATACCATGCATAAATGTTCAAAGTCTTAAACTGGTTTTTGACTCTGGTCTATCCTTGATGATGTTGCGAACAACATTTGCCAACGAATGAAATGTGAGCCGATCGAGCTGATGTGACTGAAAGAAATTTGAGGTAGCGTAATCAAACAGCTGGAGAGATCCACCTCTCTTAGGAGTTTAGCATCGTCTGATAGCGTTAACTCATCAGGTGTAATAATACCATATTGCGAGAGCAGTTCTAGAGCCTGGGAAAAAACTTGTTTCTCGCAAATCTCTCTTTGAGACTTCTTGGTATAGTATATTACCTTGAGAGCATCCCTGACATATAGAAATTCTTTGCCTATCAAATGCTCTAGGTGATTTCCGCTTTGTGGGGTAAGACAATGAAGTATCGTGATGTTGTCCAACAGCCACTTGAAAGACACCTGAATTTTTTTAGATATTACTATTTTACCTTTTCTTTCTTTCTTACAAATAAAAATTTCATTTTAATCGTGATCAGTATTTTTTTGGGAGAAAGATTCGAATTATCCACTAGACACGATCATGCAAAGCCAATGTTGAGCTAGACTTACTTCTTGAGACTCTCCGAAAACCCCATTGGATTTCAAATGCTGCTTGATTAACTCCATATCTTCCAAGGTCAAAGCGAAAGATGGACTGAAAGTAAGCTTTTTTCTGGAAGAACGGTAGACTCTGGAAGATAGCCTACTCCTCTAGTTGTGTGCTCTGCAAACTCAGCGAAAATGGATTCAAGGAGGGTATCGTCGATAGCGCTGTAGCTTCCACTGAAAAGAAAAAATTCTGTACTGAAGAATTTTTTGGGATTTACTTTGCACAGATCCATCCAGGACAGGTGGTCCTAACGAATGTGACGCAGGTGAAGTGGAGTGCGATTCTGGCGATTCTCAAACAAGGCTTTCATGACTGGATAGTCTTGCCTAGCAAGAGAAAATTTACTTGCGCTCATCATTCAACTAGGCGAAGGAGTTCTTTTGTGTAAAATGAACTCTATCCATATAAATGATCAGAAAAATCCATGAATATTATCATTCGTTCTGACGTGCAACGATTGTATCATTCACAATCAAATCGTCTGGTATAGTCCAAAAATTCATGTCACTGTTCGAGAATCTCTAGAATTCAAAAGAATTCTGAAATATGGTTATTAGCTGATTTTTGAGTTAGCTAGATACCGTCTCATAATATCATATAGTTCCTTTTTTTTAACTTGATGCTGACGCGGCTACGTTCAAATTAGAAATGCCCAAATTCTCTATAACTAGAGCCTGCGTCCTTGAGAAAATTATCTCTGGATGCCTATTTTCTTCACAACCAAATCTAAAAATCTGTTTGAAATTCTGACTTGAATGAATCCTTATTTGGATATATCTACAACGGGCTGTAAAAACAGCTGTCCGGAAAGTTTCATTGGGGAGACTACAATACTTTCTCAATGGAGGGACATGGCATTACCAAGCTTTCGTTTGGGGCTTTTCGATTGAATCCACACTCCGAAATTTTTGAAAAGGAGCACTGGAACTTTTACAAAGCCGATTCGGGTTGTTTTCCAAAGATTTTCATTATTTTCAAGTGAATAATGAAAGTTGGTAAAAAAGCACCCAAACTGTTGGTTTCGGTCGCCAAAAATGCCAGAAGGCTCAACAATTTTTAATTTTATTTTTCATGGTTTGTGATCTACTCTTTCTGATTAATCGTAAAATGCGTCCGTACTAATCCGTTTCTCTACAAAAGCTGATCTGTTTGAGTTTTTTTGAACTTTGATTTGGTTAGAATAGGATTTCTGATACAAAATTTGGAATATTGTACATATAATCTAGATGACGAAAAAATATTATTATCGGACTTTGTTTTGGCGTAAGACTCATGAAAGCGAGTAGTATTCCCGATTCTATGATTCCAGAGGAACATTCAAGAATAACAAAACAAGACTATGTTATATCCATATACGACTCTTTCATTTAAAATGCGAAAAAGGCACACTTTTCTATTATGATTTTTTTTTAATGAGAAAGAAATCGAAGCGAAGTGGATGAAAAAATGAAAAGCACTACATCAACAGTCTGCACTCACTGGACAGAATCGACGAATGAAAACTTGTAGTAAATTCGTGGCTACATCCAGAAAAAATAAGTGACTGTACCATAGAAACACTAACCCAGTAGTTAAAAAGGGAAAATGATAAAGAATGTAATGTTTTTAGGTGCGGTAAAAAAAGCAGATGAGTCGTTGAGTAAGGTGAGGAAGGATTTAGATTGACAGTCAGTTTGAATACTTTCACTGCAGGATCTCTTAGCTATACTGCATACTGAGCTTATATTCTAGCAGAGATAACCAGTGCTAATAACCACGTTCTTTTTCTTTTACTGTTTATGCAATAGTTCTAGTACTTGCTTGTCCAGAATGGAGATATTTGTATAGTGCGCAGCGACTATGCTGTGTCGATGTCTCAAATCGTGCTTGGAAAAACCAGTAGTGCGCTGGGGTTAAATTCGGAATATGTGTAAACAAAGCTTCTGAAGCACATTCCCTTTCCGACGAAACAGACACATCGTGATCCACACTACGCTATGATCCGCTTACAAGCTCTAGCTATTATTCTTTACATTAGCTCGGCTTCAGCTGTATGTACTTCTTCAATTTAGCTTTCCGCTTTTATTTCTTCTCGAGTTGAATTCTCTATGGATTTCTAGTGTTTCTCGTTTGGATGCGTTGGAGGCATTGGAGGCGGCATGTGTGGTTGCCCATTTGGAATGTGTCTGGCAACTCCTCCGGTAAGAATACTGCGAATATTTTTTATAAATTTTTGAAATGAAAAACAAATAAAAATTGAGCATATTGTTGGTACCACTGCTATGATTTTCAAAACCACAAAAATTTTATAACAAGTAGGATTTTCATGTTATTTGATACTCTGGCAAAATATTCAAATTTTTAGATCTCTTTCATGTCTGATTGAATTTCGTAGTCTCTAAATATAAAAAGTACAAGAATAATATATATTGTTTCAGTGTATGGGACGAATGTGCAGTGCCAGAGCGAGAGCAGCAAAAATCTATAGAGAAGATGACAAAGATCTCCTAGCCTTGAATACTGAGGTGAGTCATAAGTATGACTAATCCGGGGCCAATAAACTGCTCCGAAAAATTCGATTTGAGAGAGTACGCAGCTACAAAAAAATCATCCTGATATTTTGTGAATAATTACGCTTTTTGGAGCTTTGAACTTTTACTCCAAAATTGGATTCTAAACAATAGTGCATTCTAAATGTCAGTCGATAGATTTTGAGGAGCTTTTCTGAACGATGTGAATGATGTGAACTTGAAAATGAATCTTTTCTCATGCGAATTTTTTGCTATCATCCATCCTAGCACTTCACAGCTTCATTAAAACGACTCTTTTTTCCTCATTCTTTCCTTGCAGTAAACTTTGTGCGTAGCCTATCTTTTATATAGATACCATTCGAAAGAGTTCTACAAATTTCGATAGCAGCAAGCCCTTTGTCCATGTAGTTTTACGAAGACCTCTAATTTTGAAGCCAAAAATTTGAGATTTTCTGGCGGGTTGCAAGAACGTTTGCATATTTTCTTCGAAATTGGCGTTAAACGATTTGGAAATTTTCATTTGGAAAAATTCTATCCTTCTAGATGCTAGAGCTCCAATACGTCTAATAAACGTGATTTTGTCCTTTCAGGATCCAAACGAACATTTTCTAAACTGCTGTGGACTATTGGAAGTACCTATACAATGTTTGGGAATGTGCACTTTTGATGGATATAATTCTTCATCGGTAAGTACAACAATCAAACAAATGACTTTTGTTGGCTATCCTCATTTTGCACTGCAGTTATGGAATAACCTTTGGGAAAACTGCAAGCGCTGCAGCTGCACACGGGGTGATGAGCAGACATTGCGCGAAGTTCTCAGCAAAAGTACTAGCCCATAGCAGAACGAACATGATCAGCAAACACGCGCGAATCTGCAGCGAATGTGAGATCGCACCGTTGATAGCCGCTGCGCGCCACATTAGCACTCGTTAAGGTTATGCAGCCTCGCCTTCGCCTGAGAGCGCACTATAAACGTTCGCGATTTCGGCTCTTCGTGCCCCAAGTGAGCTGCCAGATATCCCTCTAATTACAAAACAGTCACATCGTCGAAAACATAATGGCAGCAGCATTACGGGAATGCGCGACATTTCATCAACTCATGTTCTCCAGGTGCAATCTGTACTGAGCCTGACATCCACTTGCCCATTCACAGCATTGCCACACATTCACTTTTGTGCCGCTCGTGGAGCTGACCACACCGAATGCTGTCGAGCTGGTGGTGTCACCGACGAATGCCTGATGTTCTGCGACCAGGTCACTTCAGCATTTAAATCAGTATTTGTTCTTTCTTTACCTCTCATTTTTGCGATTTCAGAGTCCTGACACCACGAATCAACTCACCTTACAACATTTACAATGCGTGGGAAGCTTCGATACCATGAAGGACTGCTTTACCGAACATGCCCTTACTGAATACTATCAAAGCAAGCAAGCTGCAATAGAAAAATTCCAGAAAGTACAATTAGACTAGATAGGTTTATCCTTTGTGACTGATGCGGTGTGCAATTCTCAAAGTGCAATTTGCAATTTATTTGGCATATTTATATGGATATGATAAGAGAAAGATTATTATTTGAAACCGGGACGATATTTATCTCTACAAAACAACAACGCAACAATTATATGTCAACTTCAATGATTTACTTGAAAATCTTCCCTTGGTTGAACTTCTTTCCATCAAAGTCACCCTCCCACATAAGGTATTCATTTACGAGCTTCTTTGTCTTTTCGTCCTTAGGGTCGAGCTTCTTCCAATCGTACGACTCGTAATCAACCTGAACATACGGCTTAGAAGCTATAGTGAAAAGCGTACAAAATTCACAAAAAAGTAAGAATTATGTAGGGATGTAGCAAACATAATGGAGGACGAATCCATAAACAATTCGACCGACGAGATGGTGCGTTTTATCTAGGAAGAGGGTAGCCGAATTGTTGACTACAACAATCTGGATAAATACTCTTCCCACTGCAAACGAAATATACCAAAACAAAACACACCTGCCAATCCGGAGACAAAGTAAATGCGAGTTCGTGGCCTCTCCATACCCAGATGCCGCTGATTGTCGAGTTGTTATCAGTTCCAAACAAAATCATTGAAGCGAAAGCATTTTTCTTGAGCTTTTCCAGTCGCTGATACATTCCTGTATAGAATAATTTAAATATTGAATGAGAAAATGAAGTTGAAATGCGATAGAAAAAGAAATAAATTTACCCGAGATAAGGTTACAGCTCATGAAGGTTAGGGTGAGCTCGGTGGGGTACTTGTATTCGCAATACCAGATCGAATTATGTTCAGCATCGAAGTTGTCCCAGAAGTAAGGAATGGCCTTCGTCGCGGTGTCTTCGTTGGAGTAGACTCGCTTGAAGGTGTCCATCACAAAGGTACTCTTTGGCATGTCCGCAAATGGGTCCTTCGACTTCTCAACGGTCATTCCTTCCTCAGCGTCATCTTCTGGTTCTTTGGCTTTGGGAGCTGGCTTAGGGTGATCCTTCTTCTTCTCTGAACAGATGATTAATAGAATTCACAGCAAGCAGACACCAAGCAGAACATCAGTTTGCGTAAAAAAGTCCATGATTTGTACGGATTGCAGTAAGACCGTGTTCTCGATCTTACTAGCGCGATCAACACGGCTTTTATCACTTATCCTGAGAAGCATGGTGATCCCCTGAAGAACATACCAAAACGGCATATTATTCATTCGATACACCAGCAAATACTATACCACCACCGTAACGCAAAACCAAGTTTATATACTGGATTGCTGACTGCGCAGTGGAACTTCTCACCTACTTGTATATGAAGTAAAAACAGAAATTAATGCACTCTACCTGTCTAGGCTAGTCATTAAAGGCGGCAGAATGAGACCCGTGACAAAACAAGGTCACAGGATAGGAGCCCCCATATGGAAGCTATCGGCCAAAGTCCGATCATTCTCTGCCACTTCTAACCCCCGCAATTTCAAAGCGAAAGCAGGGCTCATCTCCTCTCCTCTCCGAGCCCGCCCATCCCATGGACGAGTGACTTCCGCGGTCAGAGCGCCAGCCGCAATGCTATAAGCATGAGGTCCCGCAACGACTCTGCGTCTTCGCCATGACGGCCTTCGCGTTCACTCGTCCATGGGGTGGGCGGGTTCGGAGAAGACAGGAGATGAGCGCTGCTTTCGCTTTGAAATTTCGGGGGTTAGAAGTGGCAGAGAAAGATCGGACTTTGGCCGATAGGTTCCATATGGGGCTCCTACTCTGTGACCTTGTTTTGTCACGGGTCTCATTCTGCCGATGTACTGCCTTTAAGGCACTAGTCTAGGCTCAAATGATCTATGCTAATGCCATTGAAAAACAGAGTCTATCATGCTTGACTGTCAGATCAAAAAATAGTTTCAAAAATGTGAGCGTAGGGGAAGCGAAACTACAAATTTGTCTTGCCTATGAGCGAGCACATACCACAATTTTGATATCATCAAAACTATAAATTCGAGTAACCAACCTTCCTTCTTCTTTTCTGGCTTGGGAGCGTGCTTAGATGAGAACTCGTTAAACTTAGCTTCTGTAAGTATACGTATATGAGAAAAAACAGATGACTAACAAGATCTACTTACGGTTAAACTGTGAAGCCTTATCGCAAAGATGAACATCGCCAAGTACCTCCTTGACGGCAGGTTGATGCAAAACAGTTTGGAACCATCTCGTCACGTTCCCAATCTTCTTACGGGTAGGTGCATCAAAGACATGCTGTAACAGGTAGATAATATCTGGAAACCTCTAATGTTAAGTTACTCACCTGGTAGGCAGGTAGGAGATCCAAGGCAACGGAGATATCCGCCAAAGACAGGCGCTCCCCAACGAGGTATGTCTTGGTGAGAAGGGCCTCATCAAGGTGTTGTAGCTGAGCCAGGAGCTCCGCCTTGTATGTGTCAACAACCTGGAAGGGCAAGTGTTAAGTGGATTGATGCGCCACCAATTTGAAGCATTGAATCTCAAAATATAAGTTTTGCTCAGTGGGTTGATTGTACTGGAAAAATAACGACAAGCCGCCACCGAGAACCTCCTGCGACAATATCAATCATCCAAAGTCTGATCGGGCGCTGTTTTACCCTCACAAACTAGCGCCCAATCGGGAACCGTTTGTAACAATAAAACGCCCGATAAGCCATTGGAAGAAATGAATATCGTTCCCTATTCATCGTGAGAAACAGTACTCCGCGGAAGCTAGGCGTCTCGAACTATTGATCACTAACCCAGACCGTTCTCCAGAAAAAATAACAATGAGCTTCATGCAAGACTTCATATAAATCCACACTTTACCTTTCTACAGCTAGTGACCTACACAAAATGTAATCCTGCTAATAATTATTGGACTCGTCAAGAGTTCAAGTAGTCCTACATTTTGAGAACGCAAAATGCAGAAATTACAAAATGCAGAAGTGAGAAATGGATGAACTAAGATGAGAAGACAAGTACTAACAAGTCTAACCATACCTTCTTGTCAAGGTTAGCTGCCGATACGGAAGGCAAGACGTAACCGAGAACTGTGGGTAGGAGGTGACCTTCAGCCCATTGGAGCCATTGAACGATTTCGGGACACTGAACGGAAACAATATCACTGCAACGGCAACAATCGGGAAAAGCTGAACACGTAAACAATCGAATGAACGTACTCACGTTCTTGGCGCATCCGTTAGCACAAGCTAGATGAATGGCAATAGACTCAGCACCAAAGAGATTGACATCACCCTCGTAGGCTGGGACCTGAAAATTGAGATATTCTTGAAACGGTGATTTTTATCACTAGATTGGAGAGCACTAGAGGCAAACTACTTTTCAAAAGATAAACTCAAGCTATGATTATCCTGCTTTGCGATATAAACTAGATACAATTGAAGTCAAGTTGCACAAGTTCAAGCTTCATGATCGAAGTCATGATTTCCGTTAGTTCAGTTAGTTTCGCTTCACGTTTTAAAGAAATAAATGAAATCAACTCACCACTCCAAGTGGGAACTTGTCATGTGGCGGATGCTCTCCGGCCAACTGAACTTCAGCTTTGCCAAGTTTGGCAGCAATTAGGACTTTCTGAGTCCTGAAGCTGTCTTTGTTACCATACAGCTTCTAAAATTGATAAATCATGCCCTAAAATCACTACCACACTTCCTTGTGAAGAAATTACTATGCAGAACAAAGAAAGAATAGAATAAAGAAGTGCAAGACTGTACGAAAACTCATTTGTAGCACAACTTTTACTCACCCCCTTTACCATAGTGCCAGACGGTGAAGCGCTCGCTGGAAAAGCGCTTAAAAATGACGTCTTTACAACACGTTGACAGCTGCCGTTTGCAAGACTACGTGGCAGCCCACCATCGTGATTTATTGCGATGAAGGCGGGTTCCACGCAGTTTGCGACACAAACTACAGTATCTTGGCATTGGAGCAATGCGCGAAAATTCATTTTATGAAAATTCAATTTTCTTTTCTTTTTGTTTTCTGTCATTCTACAGTTTAATCCATCACAACTCTAACATTTAACTCATGCTTCAAGTTAAATCTTACAGGTATGTCGTTCACTGATATCCGGAATGTGCATGTCAAAGGACACATCATCATTTGTACCGACAAAGCTGGGTCATCTGACAAAGTTAGTCTTGATTTTTCTGTCTGAACAATCTTATTTGTTGAGCAGCGGCCGGTAAGAAAGACGTTTCATGGGTAGAATATGAATAACCAAGGAGAGCAGTAAATGTTTGAGTATCGCAAGTTTTCGGTACTGCCTCACTTCAGATTACTAAAACTCTTGGTGTCCATTTGCAAGTTGTAGGAAGTCATTTACTATGCTAAAGACGTAAAGATATTACACAGCGCTTTTGTAGCTAATAAGGTTACGGTAGGTCTACGGTAGAGGATTACTGCGCAGTAAGCGAAGACTGTGGGGCACGGTAACTCAATATACTCAATCTACACGTGATCTCACTATAAGTATAGTAGCGAGTGGATTTGTCACTTGTCAGCGAAGAAATCTATCCATTATTCAGTAAAGTTTTGTTCGGCTTAAAGACTGACCACTTACCGTGTTCTTACCGTAATTCTTAGAGAAGAGCTATCTTTTAAATCATTTGAAGGCAGCGACTTGGCAGAATGACAACTTTGGGATATTCGTCGTGAGTTCCCCTGGACGAGCTAAGTCCAACACTGTGCTTTGCAGCTCCAAAAGATATCATAAACCCGCTCATCCAGACATGAAAGGTTCTATTCTACAGCGCGATTGGCTTGTGAGTGGAGACACTGTACCTACCGTACCCATGAGCCAATCGCGCTCGAGGGCAGGTACCCCTTCCGCCCAAATAACACTTTTCACTTCTGGAAAAGCGGGTTATTGATATCTTTTGAAGCTGCAAATCACAGTCTTGGACTTAGCTCATCCAGGGGAACCGAGAACGATGATTATATTAAATTTGTCATTTTGCCGAGCCGCTACCTTTAGTGGCCCCCTCGCAGGTATAGCGCAGCATAAGATTTTGAAACTTTTACTGGAACCAAATGGTTTCACCAAAAATGGTTTTCTTTTTTGTTAGTGCAAGGCTTTTCATCAAACTTCGCTCGTTGTGTCTATGTCAAGACAGGAGTGGATTATCTGAATTTCAGCTTATATGTTCACCACTGACTAACCATAACTTTACAGTTTCTTACTTGCGGTACCGAAGGAGCAGTCTACGTTTGGGATGAGAAGACCGTTAACGAGAGAGAAAGTATCGACATCAAAAGTGTCGCTGACAGTACTCACAGTGCTTGTGCATGGCATGTAAGCCTATTCAAAAAAGTCGTAACAGATCTATCGTCTGTATGTGTTTTCAGGGCGAAAATGTCTTTGTTGGTATGACAACAACTGATCTGCTGACAGGCGTCGACAAAAAGATAGTTGGGCAGTGCACAATGAAAGATCTCGAGTCATGCAGGCAGTTGTTTACTTTCTCGTTGGAAGTAACAGCGGTGGATGCTAGTGAGAATTATGTGGTCGCAGGAGGGAGGTAGGGCATTATAAGTAAATGGGCAATTTTTTCTGGGAAGACATACGCATTTTTTAGCGATTCCTTCAGCTCGGTATGTGAAAACGACAAATACAAATATCATTTTTAGTGATTTTACCGTGAAGAAGATAAACTTGAAAACACATGAGCAGTATGACAGAATTGATACTAATGGAGAGATTCTTTGTGTGGCAATCGACCCTAATGAGCAGGTGAATCTTCTTCTTTTTTGCCGCTGAGCTTCATTTCTGTCTCTTCAGGTCTATGCAGTGGCCTGTTGCGATGGCACTGTCAGCATCTACAATTTGCTAAACAATGAGAAGCTTGCGCTGCACGAGCATATGTTTTCTGCCTTTGGTGATCTAAAGTACGTCTTGTTATTTGTCTAAACCGAAGAAGAAACTTTGTTGTATTTTAGTGTTGAATCTCCTCGTCACGCAATGTCATGGTCCAAAGATGGAAACGAACTCTACGTTCCATCTCAGGGAAGCGTGAAAGTAATCAAGCGTGATGACTGGAAACTGGCAACTGATAGTTTCAAATGTGATGGCACTGCCACGGTAAGACAAATTGTTTTCCTTGGAAGTTCCTTAAAGTCAAAGGTTTTTAGGATACTTTTTCTTCCTCATGTATCTCAAAAGATGGACATTATCTATGCGCTTCAACCATGTCGAATAAGTTGTTAGTGTGGAAGATAGAAAACCGGTCTGTGGTGGCTCAGTACGATTACAAGAGGAAGGATAAGAAAACTACCGTATCGTGCGTGAAGTTTTCTCCATTCAACGAGCAAGATATTCTCGTCGCTGATGTTGATGTGAGTTTTTTCTCGGTGCTTCCCTACATTCTTTCAATGTTTATCGCTGTGTTTTCCAGGAAGGCTTCTGTGTGCTAAAAGATGCCATTCCCAAAATCTCTGCACCAGTTCCTCAGGAAACAACGAGAGCTGAAAGCTCCAACGATCATGAAAACGATTCTGAAAGCGAAGAGGTAGTATTGAAGGATTACATGGTGAATGTTCTTATTGATTTATGAAAATTTTGATTAGGATGATGATGATGATGAAGTCCGTGTGAACCGTACCAAGAGGGGATTCTTGGACGATGAGGCCGAAGACGATAATGACACCAGAAGTATGATTTTGTGACTCTTCCTGTCTGTGTGATGTCATTTTTGCCTGCAGTGTCTGTCGACATCGGCGAAATCAAGAAAAAATATGGATTTGGAGACGACACTACTGGAAAGCTCGAAGACTTCGGATTTACCGTTTCTGATGAAGCTCCGCATGCATCTACTAAAGATATCATCCCAAGGTAAAAATCTTATCATGAGTTACAGTCTTTTTAATGGTTTAATTTCAGCAGCTCTTATGCTGCTCCACCACCTCCGGAAGTGATTGCTTATGAACCTCCAACAATCCCATCGTTCTTTGTTTCTGGTGCCTCACCTGACCATTTGACACAGAGATATTTGGTAAGGATTGTAATCTATGACTATAATAGTAATTTAGTTGATCTGTTCTTCATTGCATCTTTTTAGAAATGGAATTCATACGGAATTGTACGTACTTATTCAGGCGAAGATGGAAGTAGTATAGAGGTTTGTTCGTTAGCTCATTTCTTTAAAGTATGCGTGCACCGGGCATGCCATTTGAATTTTTTTTTTCAGATTTCTTTCCATGATGTTTCCATACATCCAACGATTGTACTGGACAATGGCGTGACAGAGTATGTGCTGGCAGATATCTCTGACCAAGCTGTCGCTTTAGCTAGTAAAGCGGAAGAAAAGGGAGATCAAAGGTAGAAAAACTGAAAGACGAAAATCTCTAGAAAAACTTATCTATCTCTTTTTCATCTTGAGTTTCGGTTCTCTCAAAGTTTCGATCATTCCTTTCTATACTACGAAATATAATTCCAGTGAACTGCTGGTGATACATGTTTCATCGTGGGATAGCGAATCTAGGCGCTGGACTGCCAAGCTACCAACAAAAGAGAGTGCTTTGGATGTTTTGGTAGGAAATAAAATTCCTTTCCAGTGTTGGTGTCGATATCGAATTAACGCATTTTGCAGGTATCACAAGAGCTGGTATTTCTAGCCACAGAAAAGCGGAATATACGGGTATTTAGCCTTGCTGGTACTCAACGTCATATTATCTCTCATCCAAGTGCGCATTACTTTTCTTTGCGCATTATGAACCTGATGAAAAAATTCAGGTCCTATTTTCACAACTGCATGCTTTGGAAGTAATATTGCTGTTTGTTCCATATCGGGAGGTGATTACTATGAGAAGGGAAAACATTACGAAAAGCCGAATTTTCAGGTATATGAATTCTTTTTGACCAATGTTGAGGTGTTTTGCAGAAAGGCTATTGTTTCAGCATTCCGTTACCATATACAACGTAGACAGCAGGCAGTGGTACCGTAAGAAAAACGCAGTAAACTCCGTAGACGTTCCCGTGGCTAAGAGGGAGCATTTAGTGTGGTTGGCTTTCACGAACCATGGTCAGCTTGTTTCTATGGACAGTTCATGTAAGTTTCAATGGTTTTATTACTGAGAAAGTATCTGATGATCAATTATTCAAGATACCATACGTCTACTGTCACCCTCAGGATTTTGGCTTCCCATTTTCGATGGCAGCCATGAGATTGCGGGTAAATCAGATGCTATTTGGCCTATAGCTGTGACGGAGGGGCGTCAAAGACAGATCAGGTACGTCATTGTACATTTTGTTCTCATCAATTTGGCCATTTGTGAACTTTTGTTTTTTTTTTCTAAAAAATTTTTTGCAGATACTTGTACTGCAAGGGCAGCAAATATCCACTGATTGCCGTCAAGATGGCTCCTCTTATCACAACCTGGACATTACCTTACTGTGCTCCGGTAAGTATGGTTCATTTGTAAAATCGTGACGACAGAATTCGACTGCGGTCTTTGCGCCCCTACATAACACCCTCATTCAAAATGGCATCACCCCAACGCTTAGCTCAGTCACTTCTTATGTCCAAGTACTATCATACCCAAGCAGAAGAACCAGTCGAGTAGAGATTAAAACCGAGAAAATGCGGTTGCGGGGAGGTGCGTGCGTGTCGCGCGCGGTCCCGCCATCGTCATAATTTTTCAAATGCCCTAGGCACAACAAGTTGCTTTAAAATAGACATAATTTTCGAAACTCAAGAGGATGCCAATGTCATTTAGGAGTCGGATAAGTCGAAGCTGGAGCAAGATCTTTTCCTGAATGAGCTGCAACAGAGCGAAACGAGTAGCAGATCTACTTCTGAGCTGATGGTCTGTTGATTTTTTGATCTTGAGCCACAAATGGTATCTTCTTTATGTTATTGTTTTCAGGAGCTTGCATCGGGTCATCTTCAGTGCCTTGTCAAACTCTTTGCATTAGCATGCAAAAGCGAAAGAGATGGCAGGGCAGCAGAACTTGCTGGAATGGTGACATCTGCCAAAGGCATTCAAACGATGTGCAATTACGCTGCGAAGCTGAAAAAATCCACATTGGCTGACAAAGTTGCTGCAAAAGGAAGGGAGAACTTGGCGTCCCACGAGATTTCTACACCTTCTTCTTCGTTACATCATGATATCGATGAAGATCCAGCTCCAAGACGAATGTCAATCAAGAGAAGAGCCACAGCTTCTACAGTAGTGCAGCAACCGGTGGGTGATAATAGTATTTTTGGCCATTTCATCAAACATGAAATATGTGAATTTATTTTCTAGCTCTTTATGGAAGACGACGATGTTACACCGACTGTTCCGACAACAATTGAAGATGATGTGCCTGAGACACAACCTCCACAATCCGTGAGCCAAGCTGATAGTTTGCTGAACGATAGTACCATTGTTCCGCTTCCAAAAATGACTCGGAATCCCTTCAGGGTGAGCTACTCTGCTCTAACTTCTTATTCCAAGAAACCATTACTTATTATCCCAAAGGCTATCCTAGTTATTCTAGAAATCTCCCAAAGCATCTCTCGACACCTCGTCAGTTTTTGACAGTGATAGCTCTTTCATTGGTACGGGTAAAAAGCGCGCTGCAGAGGAAGAGGTCAGCGTTTTTTCAAAGCAAAAGCTTTTTTTCAGGCTTAATTTTCAGACACCTAAGCCAACAGCAACAAAACAGATGAAGCTTTCATTTGGATCAGCTTCAGCAAAGGGGAAAGAGAACGGAAAGTAAGATTTAAAGACTTTCTCTCGTCAAATGAATGAAGTATGCCTTCTCAGAACGGCTTACTCATTGTGGTTGGAAAGTCAAGAAGAGACATTACGCAGTACATTTAGTGGAAGTCCTGAGGACTTCATGAAATTTTGTACGCAACAGTTTAGGATGCTTCCACCGGCAGAAAAGAAGGTAAATTTGAAAGTTTTCGATTTGGAAATCTCTTCAGTGTCAGTACATCTAAAATGCTTATCATTTTTACTATTGAAAACCAATGAGTATTGAATAAGTGTTTTAATCTTTACCAGTACTTCTCTGAATTTATTAGTTTTTTGACATTTTTAGTTTATCCCTGAATCGCAACATCTGTGATGTATGAGACTAAGCAAACAATCAACTTATTTTAAAGCTTTTACTTGTCAGAGAATTGCTTGTGTTCTATCAAAGTGCCCATATCGTGAATTTTGTTGTTTGGGGCGGGTGCTCTGATGGTCCCCGGGGACCTAAGTTGGCATACCCTTTTTGTTCTCGGACAGCTGTGAATAGAAGCGTATACGCGAGGCGAGAAGACTGAGCAGCTTTCTTAACTGCATGCATTGGCAAGCAAATGTTTTTCTGAGTGCCCGATTTTTCATCTTTTTCCTTGTCACTCCTTTCCTGCACCTGCTTTAGCTTTTTTTCATGAGGCAAATCACTTTTCTTTCTGAGGTAATTACTAAGCTTGCCCATTGCCCTTCATAATCTTTGATCGTCCACGGGCATGTGTTTTGTGTTAATCGCTGACTTTATGAGTTCCGGCTTGCGGCAATTGTGAATCGCTGCCGTGCGCGACATCTGCATCGAGCTGCTTTCGATCTCTCAAATTTTGATATATGTCTGAGTCTGCGGGCTAACTGAACCACAAACACACATAAATTTTGTGCAGAATGAGTCAACATGGAAACATAAGTTTCAATCTCAACTTGCTCTAAATTTTTCCAAAAAAGTTTTTCTCCTCACTTGAGAGTTTTTTTTTGCGAGTGACTATGCTTTCGCATGAGTTTCATCCCGTATTCTGGCCGGAAAGGACAATGATGCCAATGAAATAGCTTCATTGCCTTCGGATCTCATCTACTATGCATGACATCGAACTGGGAGGAAGATGTACTAGGCTGTATTGCGTCGACAAATTCTGATGAGATGCAAATAATTTCACGTTAGGTTATCGTAGTAGAATTACAGAATTACCTGGATTTCTGGGAGCTGAATTCTTCTTGTTTACAAATTTTTAGCATGATGCCTAATTTTCCTCTGATTGAAGCATATTCGAATTTACTATCTAGGATTATATTCTCATTGTAAAGTTTTTCTCAAAGTTCATATTTTTTGCTGAAACTTCCTTATTGTATTGATTAAATTTTGTGATTTATTAATTTTTTCTATCTGTTCAATCCCTACGAGTTGCTCGAGCACACTCACTGAAACCAGTGGTAGCTTAAATGACATAACGGCTTTCTATAATAAGAAGATGCATGCTTACTTTTCCTGGAAGAAAAAATCTGTGAGAACCTTTTGCCATTTTCGCATCGCAACTACTCTACTTTTGGATTGAGGCATCATCAGAACTTCAGTGAATTAGGTGAAGAAGAGAGAACGTGGTCAAAATTTTTTCGAACTTAAACCAAGCCGCCTTTTTTTTTGCGAAATTTGGACGGTAAAAATACTTGAAGTTGCTTTTTTGTGACTTTTTTGACCCTGGCAAAGGTATTGAAATGACGTTCTCGTTACTTTGTTGACTATGATATGCTTCTAAGAAGTGGTCTACTACAAAGCTTGTCTATAAAGACTCTCGTTGAAAAAGAACATTCTCCCATTTTCCTTCTCTTACACTTATTGATTTGGGCTCGACTTATTATTAGAAGTTTTCCTGGCAAAGGTTTCTTACCTAATGAATTCCGTTGCTAATTGAATCTTAGTCTCTGTCATGGTTACGTGCTTTTTTCTAACAATAGTTTCGGGATTTCTGGCTTGGTAACGATAACTCAAGTATGATTGATCCAACCGTCGTAGTAATAAATTGCTGCTGTGCTAACTCCTCTAGTCCTCTAGCACTACATCAATTCCCGTCTTAAAGTAATGGCTGTTTACCGGAGAACTTCACTCCATCTCCGGTTCTCGATCGCTTTTCCTTTGGGAGCTTAGCAAGAAGTTTGACAAACAGCCATAAGGCGACTGTGATGTATCAGCTGCTTCCCATCTTCAGAGTTTTTGTCGGTAATGCAGAGAAGTCTGGAAAATTATGCGACATCTGGAAAAAATGTGCACTTTTGCGACGACATGCTTCTCTAAGATTTTTTTCCGCAAACTTTTTCTGCTGAGATGCTTGCGGATTTTCCTCCTTTCGAAGCTTTTTTTTTGCTTTGTTGCGCTCGTTAGGTTTTGAAGTGCTCTTTTTCTGGTAAATTCCTCTTCACAAATTTGGATGCTAGGGCATAATTGCTCGTTTTGTTAAAAAAAAGGCCAATTTTTTGCAACTGAAGCACAGTTACATTAAGGGAGTCGCTTGCTTTGAAACTCGACTAGACTCAAACAAGTACTACTATGAAAAATCGAATAAAATCGTGCGAAATTTTAAAATTCGAAAGACTTAAAATTTTGAATTGATTGGATTTGACCATCATTATTGATTTGAATGGAATTTTCAAAATTCCAGATTCCAAAATTTATTTGAATTGTATCCTGAAAATTTTCTCCGAGTATGTTAGTATATGGTGGATAGATAAAAAGAGGTGGGCTAGTGTGGGGAAGGGGGAACAAGGTATATCGAATTACTTCTAAGTATGTTTATGTAGTATGTTCTATATTTCGGCTTTTTTGTTTACTCCCAACTGACCTTGAACCAGTCCGAAAATTGACCGAAACCTAGTTAAGTAATGGTGTTACCCCCGTACCTGGAAACAAATTTCCGCTCGATTACCAAAACTGGCAGTTGTTTTGCGAGTGACGATGCGACATCAGCAGCTGATTGGCAGCACCCAACGTTTTTCACTTCTTTCTTCCTCATGCGAGTTCTTTCCAGCTTCGTATCCGTCATAGCGCTTCTAGTCTCCAGGCCTTTTTGCGTCACTGCAAAGTTCATTAATGCAGAGAGGTAAATCAGCTGCAGAAGGGTTATAAGTTACAGGGGGGGGGAGAAGGATGGACTGTGGTGGCTTTAGCTTACATTGCTGTGTTATTTCTAAGACCACAAAAATATTTTTTAGGTGTTTCGCAGACTTTTCGCAGTCCTATAACCTTGCTGCTGAATTATGTTTCCCATAAGCTATTCTGTTTTCTAAAAGGTTGAGAAGTTTTTTGAAATCTGCTGGCCAAGTAGGCTTCTCACAAGCTGTTTAGTCTATAAAATTTGAAAATTTTTTTTGCAAGTGGAAATAAGTTTAACCATTTATTTAGGCTACTTTTGAAGGCCTCCCCACCACTCTCGGCGGTGAGGGGTGACGAAAGGGGGCCAAAAAAATGGCCTAAATGAGTTAAGTGTGAGCGACTTTTTTTGTTACGAAATGACGTTTGGAATTGAGTTTTTTTTTACCTTTTCTTCTGTCATTCAAAAATTTCGAACTTCTGGTAATCAAACAAATCTTCTGAGGCTCAATGAGTGCCATGATTCACCTAGAATTTGTCAACCTCTCCCCCCTCCCCCTCTACCTCGATGGATTTTTTGATCTCCACGGTTATATTTATTTTTAATTTTTTAGATGATGTACACCATAGTACAGCAGAGGACACCAGAGCTGAAAATGTGCTAACATAGTGGTGTGATATCTTGAACACCGTGTTATAAGCTTTTCCCAACAAACTTTGTTTCAAGTACTATTCAGTTTTATTGTGCCGTAACAGGTTGGCGTAGATGATATACTATTTATTGCCTGACGTTTTGACAAGAGGACCTACAGTATAGCTTTGTTTCATTTCAACAGCTTCGGGACTATTCCATCAGGAGCAAATAATGCGAGTTTTCAACTCCCTTTTCCACGTAAATTGATATTCTTTAGAATGAATTGTTTTCTTTGTCTCCCGATTCGATAAAAATTTCCTAATGTATTTATAATGAGTCTAGGGTTGTTGTTGCAAACCATTTGACATATATTCAGATATGGAATTGCATTTATAATTGAATAGGAAAGTCTGATCTAAAGAAGTGTATATTTTTGACCTTGATAATCATCGACTTTATTGAACAGATGCATAGCGGTATTATATTTCAAGGCACAGTGATAAAGTGAGGGGTGGAGTGAAGAGGGGGGGGGGGGAGTTTGGTTGCGCTGTAACTCGCACAGCTCGGTGCTGTTGCTATTTCAGAGGGTTTTTTTGGTACAAATAATCATCTAAAAATGTTTTATTTAAGTATTAGAAATTGAACAAAAATGATTTTTCTATGGTTTTATAGGTCATCTTGTTCTTATAATTTCGTCGATGTTGTACGATATATTTTTCTGTAACCAAGGAGTAAATGTTGTTGTAAATTTATGTTTTCCAAGTTTGCCCATGACAGCTTTTTTAGAGCTATAATATCGCATCGTCTCTTTCTTTTTCAAATATTGAACACCAATTTTGCTCTTCTTGAGAGCTTCAGTCTTAGCCTTTTTTGTTTGTATTATTCAATCCATTGCGAACGAGTCGCTAGAAGAAACAATAAAATCTGCTGGATGAACGAATTTCACTTTTATTTTGATGATGAGAATCAGAATGCGTCACTCTAGGCGTTAATCCTGTTGTTTATGGCACTCTAAAGTCTTCCGTATTGTTTGAGCAATGGAGTGAGGGGTGATGTTTTCAACCTTCTATTTTTACATCTTTTCTGTTGTTTCGCTTGGATTGATTGAGAGTTTTGACAAATTTTTTCTCAGAGTTTAATTTTGCTTTTTCAGGAGTGGAAAAGCCGTGCGGAGTCGAGCAATTGATAGCTTTCACCCCCTGACGTCATAGATTCATTTTCTACTGATTATTCTACTGTACTTGACAAATTTTTCGTCACTTCCGTTGGCATTCCAGTCCCGTATCTCACTCACTGCCATTGTTTCCACACCTCTTATGCACCTCAATCGCGAAGTGTATTCCATTAAGGAATCTGAATGAGGACGTCGGCTAGCTTTCTATAATCCCAATTATTTTGACCATCGACGCGTGTTAATAATTGTCGGCTGGAACGACCATCCCACTGCGACCGACCCTACTGTGGTGAACTGACCCCCCACGTGGTCTCTCTTATGTCAGATTAACCAACAACCTCAATTCGACGCTGTGTCAGCAAAGCGGAAACTTTTATTATTTTTCACCCTGGACCAATGCTGATATATTCTACTATTGTCTTGTACTTCTCATCGCTGTTTGCTGATTTTTGTGAAGGTATTTTTTCACTTATTTGCCTTTGAGATTGTACTTATGAATGCTTCTTAATATCTATCTCTACTCTTCTGACATCTAGAAATCTTCTCAAAAAATTTTTTTAACCTTAGAGATCTTCATAAGCACTAGGGCAGGTACGATCTTGGCAGACAAGCTTTTACGGTCGTGAATTCTCCTTTTTACGACGGTCAAAGGAAATAAGCTTCCGTTAATTAAGCTTTATGGCAAAGCAATATTGCTTCAAATTTGGTATATGTTCGGGAATGAAAAAGAAACAATAAAACACAGCAATAAAAGTTTTTCTCTTGCTGTTTCCAGAGTCTTGCATCGATATTCAAACAATGCTTGTATAAACCGTAGAAAAAGTTCTTATATCCGTTAACTACATTCTGTGCTAAATGGTTATACTTTCTGCTTTAACAGAAAAAGACATCTGCAAGGTCTCAGCTTCTTCCTAAACTTTTTATAAACTTTTTGTTCGCCACTTACGAGCTTGAATGGGCTTTAAGTCTCATGATATGCTCAGCTTTTCTTTTTCCACTGCGTTCCATCACTGTGTGCACTTTGCTGGAATTTTTCTTAGTTTTTCCGCTCTGGCTTCCTTTTTGTACATGATTAATGCTGTAGGCAGTTTCTAGAAAGGCAAGAAAGCTTGAAGGGGTGCTTGGTGTAGAAAAAGTGAACAAATGTGTGAACTTCCAGCAGTTTCACACACGGTTGAGGTCTTGCAAAGTTACGATGGAATCGTAGAAAAAGTTGCGAGCATGTGACTTCGGAGAAATGAAGAGAAAGAATTATGATGTGTAGGGACTTCAGAAGAAAAGAAACAAGACTTCTGCTGCTTCCTAGTAGATTCAGCAGTTAATAAAGCGTTTTTGCGGAACCTGCAACATTTGGGCGTGAGAAACGGTCATGGAGTTCAAGGTTCAAGATTTGAAAACGTCCGCCTAGTGGCCAAATTTTTTTTGCGCTATGTTCGATTCCAGTGGAGCATTTTGTTAATAATCGATTCCAGTTGACTACAGTTGTTTTCGTGTGCAGCGACTCAGAGTATGCCGCCGCCTCGCGCATCAGCCGTTGTTTCTTCTGTTTGTCCTGTATGCTGGTTTTACGTCATGATTTAAAAGACTTTGTGAATGTACAAATTGTGCAGAAGGTATTACCAGTGATCTTTATTTCTTAATGGAAGAGAAAATAATGTCTCTCAATTTCTTCGGAGTTCTCCATTGCTGGCTTCACTTATATTCAGCGAGATAACGACCCCTTTTTTGCAGTTGTCTGTTTTTATAGCGTGACACTGGCTAAAAGCTAAACTTCGACAAGAGTCAGAGCTTCAATTTTATTGCACTTCGCTATTTTATTTATGAAAGCTTTGGCGTCATGTGACTTTTTGAATTAATTTTTTCATTGCCCATTTCGTGGCATAATGTCCCGAGCTATCCTTCGACAGGGAATGCCTAAATATCAAAACATCATTAGCGAGTTAGTTTTAATGACCTTTATTTTGATGGATATGAACCCCAACAATCAATTTCATTGATGAGGCATCATATCATTAACTTTTTAGCCATAAAAACAGGAAGTCTGATTGCGAGCAAAGGGCACTGCCACGGTGCCATTATAACCCTTTATAAACTGAAATCCCTTTATGATCCATTTGGAAAGTTTGGTTTTGCGGGCAATATTCCCTGTTAGCTTCACCGAGTTCACTCCGTTTTATCCCTTATGCTCCGCTTCAACAGGAAACAAATCACAAGCAGTTTTATTTCTCTACAAAGGGGTCTGTTTGATCGAAGTGGCCTTTTCACATGAAATTGGTACGACTATAAAGAGCATACGCTGATTCCAGATCTGTCTTTTTTATCTGCCGAGCGCCTCTAGACGTCGAGTTATAAGCGTTTTTTTTGCAATGAAAAATTGAAGCATAATTAGCACAATTCGTTACACTTGCTCAAATGGTCCAACTTAATTATCAGAGCGCTCCATTTGAACAATACCTTTTGTCCAAAACGCTCATACTTGACACTGCTCTATTTGAGCGCTGAAAAGACCCAAAAATTTGGTTTTTTTAGATTATGTGTTCATTTTTCGCACTGAAAATTCGTGACTGACTCGGCATGCAGGGCCGCTCGCCAGATAATGAAATCAGATTTAGAATCAGCGTTTGATGCTCTTCAAAGTGGTATAAGACTCATTTGAAAAGGCCTTCGACTAATCGGACTTCTCTTGTTAGTACCGCATGGTTTCTTTTTGAGCACCTGAAGAAGAAGAAGAAGAATAAACTATGCAGATTTTTATTCTAAGTGTTGAAAGATAGTAACTAGATACTTGTATATATGTATCTGTAATACCTAGCCTTTCTACTCACATTATAAACTAAGGAAGAGATCTGTTGAGCGGATAATAATTGGCTTTTCGGCTCTCTCTTTTTTTTAGCTGAATTGAGACCATGTTTTAATATTGAGTAGGTGGCGCTGTTTGAACCAAATGTTCTGCATTAACCATCAATGCCTCCACTGAATTTACGTTTGAATTTCCACGAAATTTCTATCAGCGTACGTTCACGTTCTATGTTTTACCTGTAGCAATCCTCTTGGCATAATTCGAAATTATATTTTACGAGAAAATAATGAATGTTATGCTTGTTACAAGCGCTGAATAATGCTAGAAGGACATAAATATGAGGGGGAGCTACCATTTTTGCTGTTTTACCTATAAACACTAGGAGTGCTGGTTTCATATTACCATTAACAACTTCCTAAAGCAGCACAACCCTCAAAGCAGAAACAGAACTTTCGCATTGCAGCAGTGTGCTATCATTGTCTCTCGTCAGATGCCCAACTTGATCCGAAAGTGCGTAGTCATCTCGGCACACAAGAAGACGTCTTCTTCATGCCCATAACATCGAGGAGCAGTTCTTGCAGGTAAGCATCATTTTACTTACCAAATCATAAAACGAGTTTTTCTTTTGTCGTTATTTGCCTGCAATAAGCGATTTCTCTGCTAATATATAATTTTGGCGGATTAGGGTCAAGTGAACACTTTACTTCTTTTCCAAAAAACTCGAATTGCGGCAATCGTAGTTTTCATGAATGTGAGCAATCGAAAATCAAGCAGGAGAGAGTTGAGCCTGTTGCGATTTATCTCTTCTTCTTTACGATGATTTGAGCAAAAAATAATTAGAGACAATGTGTTGTACGTAATGTGATCATAACGAGGTAATCAGTCAGCGAGCGAATTAGTTGATTATTTGAGAAAATCTGTCATGGGTGACGCTTGCACTTTTGCTAGAAAAAAGCTTCATTTCAGTGCTTTTTTGGAGGTCTACATTGAGTATGCATCCCTCTGAGGATAAAAACTTACCAGAAAATAATTGTGTAGTCACCTTATTCATCAACACGTTGCTATTCGACACCGTGAATTGTCAGTCTATCTCAATCTTACTTCAAATCGAAATCTGTTTGTGTAGGCGATAGATTTCGCAATTTTGTATCTCAAAATAATGATGGTTGGAGTAGACTGAATATTTACAGAGATATTAATGTCGATTTTCAACCGCCATTTTCCTTTTTTCAAACAAGGACAAGAAAAGTGAAATTTATCATAACGAGAATCTTTTGCACAATTTTCAACTAGGGCTCAGTAGAGGTGACCCTTTTACACGCTGGACATCCTTTTTGAGAAAAAAGCAAAAGGTCATAAAGGTTGAGGGGTGACTCCCGGAAACTTGACAAAATAGCACAACTCTAATTCTTTCAATTAGTAAACCCGAATTTGAAGTTCTCACACCATTATTCTAGTAACAGGTAAATTAATACTTTAAAGCATATTTGATATAGCCTGACAAACGATTGCCAACGTGTCTGATCACAATCTTTATGCAGAACAAGAAGAAGATAAACAGTCTGTTTGTTCATAACGCTATAGTGAGCCACAAAATTTGGTGGGTACCTTTGCGACGACGTTATGAAGAAACTTTTGAGCTTGTTGAGCGTCGACCAAGATATTAACCACACTTTATTCACGGCCAACGTTTCGGCGGGATCGCCTTCGTCAGAGCCTAGAAAGTTGAAAACATAAGTGAAACATTCTCCCAGACGCCAAGATTCTAGCTCAAGACGAAAGTCAAATTGGAGAGAGGCAAAGGCAAAGAGAGATTGGGTAACCAAGACTCACCTTCGATAACGTGTGATGATGCGTTAGACCACCATATACTCAGACTATACCTCTTCCCCTATTTATAGCGCTCGGGTGACCTGACCTCATATCAAAACCCACAGAGGTATTGATATGGCGCCAGTTCATTGGTGATGGCTATGCACTCTTCCTTCCGATTCATCTTTGGATTCTTGGCGTTAATCCAGAACGCTTCCAAAGTTTTGCGCGCTAGGAGGTCGGGCTCATACGCTAATATATACTCCAATACTAATCTCAGCATTTTCATGACACGTTAAGAAGAAAAGTACAAAAAATATTATGTGAATGAAAGGACTTGTAAGTGATTTTCATTTTTGCTTCTGCCCAACTTGGTAGCACCCTGAGTTTTCGCTGGACAAATCCTAATTTTTCCAATTTTCTCACATAATTTTTCCAAATCTTTTGAACCAATTCCCCAGTTCAAGCTCTGCCTATGAGTACTTACATCAACCAAGCTTCGGACCCTCTGCTTTGCTACGACCCTGGTGATGCAAAAATGATGCTTCCTACGCCTTTTTCGGCTATTGCTGTTTTATCTCTGATTTTCCCGTCTTTTCTTGAATTTTGTCCGCTCACCGTTCGCTGCAGATTATAAACCGCACTTCGAAAGTACCACAAAGGGTTCGTGAGCTTCTGCATTGTTAGAGGGAACTTCAATTGTCAAATGCCAATTCATGGCGAACCCTCTCCTTGTGTTCGATTGAGTTAATGAAGTTTGTTGAAATGAATAAGCACAGGCAGAGAAAAATTTTCTGTTTTGAAGGGGATTAAATTATTTGAAAGCATATCCTCTGAATTTTTTCCTGCTTTGAGAAAACAAAGCTTTTGATAGGGTTGGACAAATTGACTGAGCTTCGATAATTCTCTGTTTCAGTGACAAAATCGACCATGACTGGTTTCCATCCATAGAAAGTCAAATATGTTCATCATCGTCTTTGTGTGTGACCTTAACGCCCAACATTGAAAGTGAGCTACAATTTTTTTTGATTTTTATTGCTTTTGCTCACATGATTATTTTCCAGATTCCACGTTTGTAGTCCGAGGATGCATGGAATACATCTTACGGCATAGTTTGAAAAGGCAAAATATCCATAAAAAAGGGTTAGTCAGAGCAAGTTCGGGCTTGGCAGCCGTTATAATTTCCATTTCTTAGCTGCTACCTCGTTCGTTCACTGCCAGCTCGCTATCCACCCAAATTCACTGTCGATTACCTGCTTTGCGTATGTAAAGGTGATTACTGTAATGGTGAACAACCGCCAGACTTCTTACCGGGACCATATAATTTTCACGGTAACATGGTATTACCGCTACATCGTAGAGAAGATCTTTTATTAGCTCCAGGAATGCGAATGCAACTTGAAGTTACTTCTTACTCATGTTTAACTATATATTCTTTTTTACATATGTTGTTTGTAATATTGTACAATACATAGCCTCTAGAATAATTATTATAAAATTAATGACACATCCCACGACCTACAAAGCTTGCCCAAGACAAAGATCATCTTAAATATGGCTGGTTATGTATATAATGCGTAATAAATAATGGCTAAATAACTGTCTCATAATTTTCTTCTCAGTGAGCCACCGAAGTCCTTTTCCATTTTGGTCGTCCCGCACATACCGTAACCCTCGGAGCCGGCAAGCTTTGGCGACGTTTATACTCCTAAAAATTCGATTTTCTCGTGGTAAAAAGTGAAGTCACCCCTGAAACTACTTGATAAGCCGGCAGACAACAGATATCTTCTTTTGGAGGTTCAACGCTACGATCTTCGACTTCTAAACAACTACTATGATGATCACTGAACATTGAATAGTGTGTTTTGGCACTGACCTGGTTCGAATTCTCGCAAAATCGGCGGCGGTTCGAAATTTATCCGAGCAAGTATTGACGCTCGTTGCTCTCGTTTGTTTTCTGATGATACTGAACGTTCCATAGGCTGCTGAGCGCTGGCATCTCTGGAAGAACAAACAATTAGTGGGATATTACAGTATATTGTTGATCATGGAGGGTTACCTCAGATATTTGACGAATTTCATCCTTGACGCGCGAGTCTTTTCACGAAAAAGTCTCTTGGGGAAGCAGAGATTTGCGGAGCAAAGTGACAGTCCGAGGAAGAATAATGAAATATTTGAGATGTATAAAAAGACTAAATGTTTACAAAAAAATCTTAAATGTTTCACAATAATGACAGTATCCGGAGCAGTCTAGCAGACTAGGATTATTGGCAGACTGCCCATGGTGCATATAGTTTGCTATACTTCAAATAATACGTTTTCAAAAAAAAACCGTTTGAGGGGCATGTCGGTCTGTACAATGATGGCAATTATGTGCAATGGGCCAGTTTAGTTTAGGGGAAAAGAAGAAAGTTGCATAGTAGTCTTTACAACTCTGCTATTCTAGAATTGCAGATTTTGAAAGTCGTCCAAGAAATTGGTGGTTATATGGGGCAAATCCTGAGACTCATTAGCTTAAAGAGCGTAAAAGCAACAATTCTGTGCATTCTTTAAACAAGAGCAAAGTGAGAAGGACGGCTATTCATCGTTGTTGTCCGTTCTTTGAAAATGAAATGTCTATGCTGTTTGTTTGAAACAAAATTATTGTCATCCTGCAAAGTGGACGAAATGCTGATGTAGTATGATATATAAAGGGTTCTCAAAAATTCAATTTTTTCTTGAGGGCTACAGTTTGAGCTATGGTTGTACTTGGTAATAGCATTTTCTTTTTACAAAAGTGAGCTTTTGTGGAGAATTTCCGAATGCCAAGAAAGTTACGTACTTATGAAAGATCCATTGAGCACAAAAAATCCGACTAGCATCAGCCGGCTCGATGTCAGAATATTGTGATATCGAAAGGAGGCGCCATCCGGTTTGAACTGAATATTACAAATTTGTTCTATTACTTCTGCGTTGTTACCTACCTTACTGACTGGATAGTGGCATTCTGCTTCGTCTATACCGCAACTATCAACTGAATCGCATAGTAGGGATCTCTGCAGGCAAGCGAAAGAGCAATCTAGACAAGGATTTGAAGGAACCGGACATATTTAAGAAAGCAAAGGCTTACTATATCCTTTTGAAAAATCGCAGCGTCTTCCACATTGGAAGGTATTTAGATCACAGGTAGTGAGTACAGAAACGACTATAACAGCTCTGAAGCTTAAGCCAGACGGTATCTCAACGCTAATCGGACTAGAGAAGAGCTTGTAAACCTAAAAAGTTTTTCTTTTGATGTAAGTCAAGGGAAAAATGGACACCGATGTACCTTTGGTTCTTGCCTTACAACAAGTACTTGCTCCTTGTCCTTAATTGTAAGCTCCTCAGAGCTCACTGGATGTCGGAGTGAGATTGAAGATGTGGTGGAGATCGACACTGAATTGGACAGAAAATTATTTTACATGGTTAGCTTAAAAGAACAAGACGTACCCATCAGATCGGTTCCGGCAAGGCTTTCCACTGAGATCTTGCATGGACTTGAGCTAGTCGAAATGTCTCTGTAATCGTCCGAAGAGAGGACGACAGTTGTGCCAGCGTCAATTTTTCTGAGTTAGTGCTATTTAGGTACTATTTGGGTCATTGAACGAACTTTACTGCTATGATTTTTCGTTTCCTAAGGTTTTGAGATACCGAAGTTCCATAATTATTATAAGCTACTGAATCAAACACGCATTATTATTATTTGATTTACTAGTGTGATAATAAGCTGATGTAAGTATGACTACTATGAAAATGGTGATGATGGTGATGTTAGTATGGTGGTTTTGGTGGTGCTGGCAGTGCTGGAGGGTGTTCATTGAAGACGATTTTATTGGTAATAGTGTTGGTGGAGTTGATGGCGTTGAATGGTGTTGAATGGTGTTGATGGTGCTGAATGGTGTTGATGGTGTTGATGGTGTTGATTGGTGTTGATTGGTGTTAGAAGCGGCAGTGTAATGTGAATAGTATAACTGATAGAGTTTAGTCATAAGAGATAGTAGACAGTAATATTACTGCTACTGCTGAAAATTACTGCTAGTAATAAATAGTTTATTCTATCATTAAACAGAAATAGCCCCTTTCCCTCGCAAAGTTTCTCATGCATCCCTTTCTCTCTGACACGACAACATAGTCATCAATCTAAACTCTTCCGCAGGAGATTACTCTTCAACACTCATCTTGTTCATCTTCCATGACTCCTAGCGCTTATCTCAATATCAGCGCTGCAACTAGCTTCTTATGACCTAACCTAAACCAGATTTATTAGCGAAAATCTCGGATCATAGCAAACAATTTGTGACGCTTCGGGATTTCGCATGTTTAACGAGGTCTTATAGGGGCTCAAGTATGTAAACGGATCTTACGAAGGCGATACGTAAGCTCCCGCTCATAATCATGCAACGAGACCTGCAAGAGAATAAGAGCAAAGTTTTCGTATTCTCATATTTTTCTGTAAAAGTTCCAAAACAGAAATATGCTCTCACTGGTATAAAGAATTTGAGAGGGAAGCTTTTTGAGAGCTTTTTGTAAGGAAAATCTAGAATTTGTTCAACTCAAAAATCGTCTATAAAATGACTTGTAGTTAATCTTCTCTCCGTGTTCTTCTAAGCGTTCATTTATTCCCGAAATAAGCATAGGACGAAATTCCGGCCCCGGATATAGCAAGAAATACCTTTTGCGTACTTCCTATGCTATGTGTAATTTGATGTTTTTTATTCCCACCGTCAGCATCTCGTGAAGACTATTTCTCACCTGGTTTATTTAAGTAATTGCTACAGGCTAGTTTAATGACAAGGAACGTTCAATAATTTGCATCTTCAACAATGTTTTATAAGCATTTGTTTCAGCAGGTGATCATTCACGTCAGAGACAGATTTAAAAATTATTATTTACCTTCCATGACACGATTTGTCAGTGTCTGCAATCGCGAACGAAAGCTGCATGAGCAGAAAGTACATACCTAACAATAAGCATAGCTTAATTGTTCTGCAATAACGGATTAAAAGGAAATTGCACTGAGTGAATAAACAATTGGCTTTGGCTAATAATATGCACAGAACTAGTATTCAAAACTGTTTCTCACCTCTGGTTTTTAAGTACATAAAGTTATTCATTGCGGTAAGATCTGAGTGTTCAAAAGTGGTGAGGGTTATGGAAATAATTACAGTTTTTATGAAGGGAAGACAATTCATTTCCATTTTTTGTCTTCTTGCAAACCCTAATTTGTTTATGGATTCTCGAATATTAAGATAAAGAATTTGATTCTATCTACTCAGTAGAACTTTTGCACTGCTACTGCTCTAATTCAAAAGTTTGCTAATCCATTTTCAGAATTTTTTACCTATTTGGTATATGGTATCGTGATAGTGCTGCACGTCATAATTTTTCTTCTAAAAAGAAAAAACTTTGTAATGACAGATTGCCGACTTTTTAAACAGTCATAGCAGAGTTAAGAATGAAAGAAGGAAAACTTAAGCTTCAACTTTCATTAGATTTGCAAATGGAGATATGAGTTTTCTAACCTAATTTTTGATGGTACAAGGATGATTGAAAGTTTCTTTAGAAAGGAGGTATGAATTTCTAGCTCGCAGAAATCAATTTTTTTCATTTTTCTTGCAAATCATTTTTTCTAGAGACCTTTGAAACAAAAACAAAAGCTGTGGGTAAGTTCTGGGCATTGGAAAGGATAAGTCACATAACTCTGTTTATGCTATGGATCAGCGAATGAGCTGCTAGCGGGAAGGTTAAGAAAACCAAATCATAAATGTCAAAGATGGCGGATCATGCCTAAACTTGGCCGAACTTCTTTCACCTCCTGTTCCCCTCACGGCTAACACCATTCGATTATTCACAAGTGGTTCTACGCGAAATCGGAGCAGAGAGTTCAAAAACCAGTTGTGATTACAAATAGTTGATGATCGAAAAGAATTCCGAAAAATTCTTCAGTATGGGAAAGGTCAAATGAAGTGTTTTTGAGAGCTAACTTCAAAAATCTGGTCAAATGAAGGATTTTTAAAAGCTAACTTCAAAATTCTATCTGGAGTTTTTCAATGCGTTTTTGTCTTTTCCTTATTTCTTCCACTTCGTCAGGTGTTCAAATAGACCAAAATGTCACAGATTCTCAGATATTGGACCCTCTCTTTCAGTACCAAAATTCCCTCATGTGTATGTGCACTACATTTTTTTTCGCTTATCAACCTATCATACTTCACATTCTTTCAACAATTTTCGTGCACGAGATATTGCCATTGAGCACGGAATTTCAATGATTATCGACCACTTGTTTTTCATAGCTATTGTTGTCAAGGAGAGACCTCGTTGAAATTATATGGCGAAATATTCATGAAACAGAAAGCACGCTACCACTAAGACCTAGATGGACGCTTTACCCCGAATAGGGTTAGTAAAAAGAGTAAGCGTTAGGATATATGCAATTTTGAAGACGATTCATTCAAGCAAAGTGGGTTTTCTAAGCAAAATCTAGGTAAGAACAGGAGCTTCGTCGAAGTTAAATACAAAATTCATATTTTTAGTAAACTTACTCCAAAAAGCAAACATTGAATAGAAGCTATGCAATTGGTATACACCAGTGTAACTATCTTGTCCTGAACATTGGGCCCTTGAACTATAAGTTGACAGCTGAATTATACATAAAACTGACTGCTTTGACTCTCATGTCAAAAGATTCGTAAATTTTACATCGAACCTGTCCTTGAAAAGCTTGAAGGTACGTTTTCTTATGATTCCTTGCTAAAGGATCTCAAAAGTAACACTTGCAACAAATGGTTATAATATTTATATCATTTTCTATTTATAAATATTTGTATAGGAATCATTCATTCTATATGAATACGATTTGATGTGGCAAATGATTAACTTGAATAATTCGAACAAAAAAGAACGTTTACTTTCAATTAAGATGTACCCTACAATTTTCCCCAAAAATTTCTTCACAAAGATTTTGAAGAAAAGATTGGAGAAAATTCTTGAGAAAATTGTAGGGTACATCTTAATTGAAACTAAGCGTTCTTTTTGTTCGAATTATTCAAGTTAATCATTTGCCAAATCAAATCGTATTCATATAGAATAAATGATTCCTATATAGATATTCATAAATAGAAGATGATACAAAGATTTTAGGTACCCTTCCCTCATTGAGCAGTCCCGGGAGGGACCAAAGCTTGATAACTACGGCTAAGGAAAGGGACGAAATGGAGTTTTTCGAGACTATTGAGCTATTATGTTAGCTGAGAATCAGAACTATTAGGTTGTAACAGAATTAATGCAGGTTTTTCGCGCACCTTTTTCAAAATGCTGGTTTAGAACGGGAAAGTGTTTTCCTAGAGAGATCTACGTATTATTCAGAAGCTCTTTTCTCCTAATGTCTTTTGCATTTTTTCGTTTTAGTGGAAGTGAATTTGTCTAGAAGTTCTGAGCCCATGAATTCAAGACACCGAATCTCGAAATTCTTTCTATTAATATACCTGGCTCTAAGACCACTCCGTCTGCCCTTATAAAAGTCCTCAGCGCAAAGCGACTGCGGAGCTTCCACTTTATATAGGAAGAATAGATTTTAGACATTTATGGCTGAGAAAATCGGGGGCCGTTCTCCATATCCAGCTTTGAAAAAATTCGAAAGTTTCAAAAAAGCGACTTTTTCAAATTTTCAGAAAAGTCGAAAAAATGAGTACTTTCAAAATCTTTTCAAATATCCTCTCGCAAAGAATTCTTTTTCAATTCGGAATTTAGCGCTGCTACACAACCGACCATAGGTTACGCAGTGAGTTATATTTGTTTCTACCTAGTTTTTTTCTACCTTACCACATATGGTAGTAAGTTATGGTTTCTCAAAGTGAAGGTTTTCTATAAAAATTCTTGGCAGAATTGGGGCTATAAGATTTTTTCAGTGAAGCTACAACGAAACAGCAATGCATGCTGAGTTGAAAAGGGTTTGCTGATTACAACAATTCTTTTTGCACACGAAAAGACTTTTTGTGTAAAAAGTTATAATGATCTAAAGATAAAATTTAAAAAACCTGCATTAATTCTGACAACCTAATAATACTTAAAATTGAATTAACAATAATGTAAAAAGGAACTTTCCAACATCAACCATGAATGGGAACGCTTTGAAAATTTTTTTTAAAATGAACCCTATTCTTCATGAAGTTTTACCGTTTATCCCACTTCGTCCCAACTCTCCTTAAGGTTTCAATATAATTATATTAAATCTACATGGAAACCCCCTATCTGTGGATGACTTTCACGCTCCGACCAATCCAGTTCAGGCTGCATTCTGTGAATTGTTGCATAATGTCTCACGAAAACTGGTATTGTACGTGGCTAACATAGTTGACTGTGTTGTGGTAAGCGGTTATGCTTGGAATCCCACAGCAATGTTTGTAAACATCAAGGAGTAGGTGGTGCGAAACACCACGAAGTCTCTAAATGTGTAACCGATGACATAACTCTTGTATCATCTAACATTGTTAACGTTACAGTTTAATTTACCTTAGTTTTATGGCTTCTGAAGTTTTGGGAATTACTGATGAGGAGCACAAAGGAAGCCACACTTGTATAGTGTGGAGATTAGGACTGGCCTAGGAAAGGCCCGCCAAAACATTCTTTGGCGGCAGCACATTGTACTAAAGTGCGTAGAAAGTGCACCAAGACTACTACTTCATTTGGAGTGGATTTTACACTCAGGCGCCTCGACGATTCTCTGACGTCACTTGCCTCATTTTGACTGCTTTTTTTGTTCTTTATTCTTTCGTGCTGCTTAACTGAGTAGTCAAGTTGGTTTCCAGCGCGCACTCGTCTTGGACCAACGGCAGAGAAGCCGCTGTATATCCGTGGAAGAGCCTGAGACGGTGCAATAGTTCTTAGCTTATAACACTTCTGCGCAAATTAGAATTTGCTAGGTCTCGTAACAGCTATGCCTAAAAGTTCCTGTATAAGGTACAACTTCTCTTCCCTCCTTATACCTATGACTGAACTGGCCCCTATCTCCGCTTTGAATGAAAAAGGCGTCGGCTGTACAAGATCCTTGATGAGACTAAAATAGCCACAGAACTGTTGACAACTGGACAGGTTCGCTTATTTTCGGTAAGATGTTTACAGCTTGCCGCTCCCGACGTCGATCAAAACGTTTTTGGAGGTCTTTGCTGCTATCACCTTTCTCTACTGCAACTGGGGCTAAATCACATGTGTGATCGCTGCGCAGGGTTAACGTCTCCCATGCGATTCGGACCGATCGCTCTTCATCAACATCTTTAATGATCACGTTTTTCATCTGTTTACCGTCTGTTTCAACCATCGCTCAATTTCACACGCTTCTTCGCGCCACACGACTACGTCAGCGCCGAGGTGACCTCGAGCGATGTTTAGCGATCAGAAAGTTTTGCCCCGAAGCGCTGCTGACCAATAACCTCGACAGTTTCGGCTGTAAAGTAGCCAGAGATCTCTGTAATTACAGCACTAATTGTACCGCAAAGAGTTACGTGGACTGTGAATGATAACTCTCGCACAAATCATAAAAGTTTTCTGCCGTTCAGACATTTTCGGTTAATCAGCTGATTTGGCGCAGAAAGAAATAACTTTGCAACCAATTAAGTATGTTTTTGGTAGCGTTTATCTCTCTGCACTTGATTTGCGTTTGAGCACAGCAGTCTAGTACAGTTTAATCATCAATTACCTCTTTCTTTTTAGAGTAAGAGGTTAAAGGAAAAAAATAGAGTAAGGAAAGATTCTATTCCAATCTGTTATACTTATCCATTCTCGAACGTATAATACAAAACAAAGGCCGTGCTGTTCTCTGTGAGGCATGCTTTATAGTGGAGCCATGCATACTTCGGTTTCGTTTTACTGAAAAGGGCTCATCACTTTTTGCTAGAAATTCCTTGAACGACTGCGAGTTCGGCTGGCTTCACAGGATCCTCTTCTGACTTCCGCATAAGCA